TTACTGTACATCTATCACATCTCCTTAATAACAAATAATCCACTGCACTTTTGGTATTACCCGACTTATAAGTCACCAGCTTCTCTGATTCTTTCTTAAACATTATATTACAGACAATCTTATCCATAGCATCACTAAAATCGAAGATCCTCTCCCCTTTAAGTTTTTTCATGCCGTAAATGAACCCTCCATGCGCTCCTTCATAACCCTCACTACTCGCTCCCACATATGCATTCAGATCACAAGCCAGGATAACCCCCTCTTCATTTGCCAGTCTCGATGTCACCCCCGACTGTCCCAAAATAATCTTTCTCTTCTTCACTTCTTCCAACCTGAGGAACATTTGCCGAGATAATATTATGCAGCTTTCTACCAAAAATCATCTTGATAACCATTATCTTGTTATCTAGCCTTCTCATTTCAACTACTTTGTCTACCAATCTCTCCGCAACCAATACTCCAACTCCAGCCTTACCATCATTACTTCCTTGCCAAAAGAATTTATACTTTTCACTAGTCTTGCCAATCATTCTTGTCCCATTTCCTCATCTGGTCTCCTGTATGCAACACACATCTATATGCCTTCTATGCAGTACATCGACCACTTCTCCCTCTCTTCCCGTCATACTCCCAAAATTCCATGTCGCAATCCGTACTCGATCCCCCGTAAACTGGTTTCTCCACTTTTTATCAAGTCGTTTATGGCCGTCATATGTTTCATTTTCATGAATCGTGGTTCCACCAGGTTTTCCATCCTTCTTTTTGTCGTAGGCTGATGAGGAGGCCCACGGGGTACTTTGGACTGTACCCCGCCCATGCTTTGTTGTAACCATAATCTTTAATTAAAATAAATGATTTTTAAAATCTCTGAATAATTATTTATATTATCAATATACCAATGATTTTTAATTAATTTAATAATCTCTTTCAGATTGATATCATTGCTCGTTTCATTTACAACTTTACTATGAGTGAAAGGTAAATCTATATTAAATTTATTTTTAATTCTCTAATTTCATCTTAAAAATATTTTGTAACTTAATTGGTTTTTTAACTCTACCCCCAAACGGGACAGAGCGTCAGCACATTTGTTTTGATTACCAGGTCTATGAATTATCTCATAGTCATAATTTAATAGCTTCGTCGCCCACCGTATTAAACGGTTATTTGTTATTTTATTTAGGTCTCTTTTATCACCTAAGCTATATTTTAAAGGTTTATGATCCATAACCAAAATAAAATGTCTTCTATAAATACATTGATGAAACTTCTCGATAGCGAACATGATCGCCGAAGCCTCCCGATCAATGGTGGCGTAATTATTTTCAACCGCCGAAAGTGTCCTCGATGCTTAAGCAATCGGTTTCTTTTGACCAGTAAGAAATCGGTGTTCAATAACAGCTCCTAGACCATCTTTGGAAGCGTCACAAGAAAACTACAGGAATATCAGCTGAATAAGGAATGTATCTTCTATTGATAATATTTTTTCAACTCTATTAAATATTTCATTTTCTTTAGCTGACCAAAACCAACTCACATTTTTACTCGTTAGTCGGTGTAAGTCGCACAAATAAAATGTAAATTTTTTATGGCATTAATCTTATCTTCTATAGGGTGAATTCCGAATTCGTCAATAACATGACTTAAATAAGTAACTGACTTTTCTCCAATTGTAATTTTATCGGTCGTCATTGTCAGTTCAGCCTTATCAAATCTTCTTAATACTTCTTTAAGATTAACTATATGATCAAAATTATTGTCGCCCACACGTCGTCTAAAAATACGCCATAGGAATTCCCTTTAATAGGGTTTGCATAAAGCGTTGAAATATTATCGGAGCGCTAGTCAACCAAAAGGGATTCTTTGGTATCGGTACATGAGGTCCCATTCTGGATTAACTCCGAATTGTAAAAATGCATCTCTTAAATTTATTTTAGAAAATATTTTACTACCAGCGATCCTATTTGTCAGGTCGACGAAAGTTGTTAGTAGATCGTTATCTATCGTTAAATATTTGTTGATTGTTAAACGAAAATCTCCGCATGTCCGCACGGCACAGATTTCTTTAAAATATTAACCGTTGGCGTAGCCCAAATGATTGGAATTGAGTTCTAGACGGTAGGGCAATTGGCATTGTGTTTAGTTGTATCTTGATGATGGCTTCCTTGGATTTTATTTGTCCTAATTTTTTTTAAAAAACTTTCGAAAATTTTGAAACAATAGTATTTAAACTGGAAAATTTCATATTTATATTATTAATCCGAAATTCTTCCGGAAGTTTTATATCAAATTCTTTAAGAAAAAGCATTCCGAATATAATTGAATTCTCACCTTTAACTAGGTATAAATTTTGAAATATTCTTTACTTCGACTTCCACTAAACATTTACCCAAATTTCAATTTGATATGGTTATATTCCTCTGGTTTATATGCACGCAATAATGATGGTTTGCCTATGCGACTCCAGGTAACCTCATCTATCACACTACACGCAGCACCGGTATCAAATTCCATAGGCTGCACCCCATTTATCTTCGGATCGATTGTAGCTTTATTAGCAAATGACAGACGAAGTGTCCGTGGTAGAATTATTTGTATAGCATGCGTTCTACTATCTTTCGCTATGTGGTTTGCCTTAGCATATTACTTTCTTTTGGTTGAAATTAAGTTTAAAACTTGATTTATAATTATTAGGAGTATAATTATTATGGTTGAATTTGTTAGCATTATAATTATTATTATTGAATTTATTAACGTTATTATATTTATTATTTCTAAAGTAAGTATTTTTGGAACCTTGTGTAGGCTTATGTTTAATTATTTTATTAACTTCTGCCTGGGTTTCCTTCTCCAATGAATACAGCCGATCACTAAACACACAGTATCTTCAAAAATTATATTTCCTTCAATATATTTTGACCGAAGTTCTTTGTTCAGCTCAGGCAACCCTACTCCTAAGATAAAAAATATTTCTTAAAAGTTCCTCAACCGGCTATTTAAAATTACATACAGTGCAAATACTTTTCAATTTGATCGAAAAATGGACAATAGTTTCACCACCTCTTTTTAAAGTATAAAAATTTTTGCGATGTAGGAAAATACTAGATATATTCTTAAATATTTTCTCTAAACTATCAAGTAAAGTTATATAATTAATGCTCTAAATTATTTGGGTAGTGAAAATTTTTTATTTTAATTAAATTATCGGTACCTATGTATTCTAATAACATTTTTTTTGATCAACTTTATTTTTTACTTTGAAGATAGTTCTTAATTATATCAATAATCCTGAATATTCACTTTTTCTTTGACGGTTTCTGGAATATGGAATTGAGTAGAAGTTTGTGTTTCTTCGTTTTTCTTCAAAAATATCTTCTTTGAGTCTTCGTGCATAGTTTAATTTTACCTTTTTATTTAATATGTCTTTTTTTTAAATAAAAATAATCGTCGCCAAATGAAATGAAGTGATTTATTTATGTATAAATATATTATATGTTTACAATAAGAAAATATATATCCATATATACTTTTACAAAATCGTTTATCTATTTAATCTATTATTATAAATTGTAACTTAAAACCAAATTAACAAAATACAATTTATATTTATAATACATTACACTTCTTTACTGCTTGAATTATTATAATGAAGTTGTGCCACCCAACAACATCTTTGTATTTAATTTATAATACCCTAATCCTGATTTAGCGTCAGAACTTTTTCCTTCTACTGGCACAGGTTGAAGAATACCTTTATTTTCATTTCCCAAACCTGTCCATTTTCCAGCCCATACCTTTAAATTTGATTAAAAAATAGTTAAAATTTAGTTGGGTAGCACAATAGTAATTCAAAGTAAAGAAGGTATGACGCCTTCAGAATTATTTCTGGATCGAAGGACCAAGGTTCCATTTGTTTTTTTAAACCAAACAATGGCAATATTATACATTCGGTGGGAGAGAGTTAAATAATTTGGGTCCGTTTATTCGATAATAAAGAAAAAAAATGGGGTCTTAAATCGAATAATTTAAACGAGAGTCCAAAATGTTAGCATGACGATCATGCTATACAACATTAAATTTTATACTTCTTTAGGTGGATATGGGTTCATTCCTAGTGAATATAATACTTTAATTTTTCCTTAATGAAAATGATGTTAAGTAACAAATGTAGGCGTTTATGGTATATTGGATTATTACCATTCATGGACAATTGAGTATGGTTTTGTTTTTTCTTCCAATTCCTGGGAGGGTGTATAGTGTTTAACAGAATATTTTAATTTTCCCTGATTAAAAATGGTGTTAAGTAACAAATGTGTGAGAACTTGTGGCCAACATGCTAGGACCCTCGACATATTTATCTTATATCACTGGTGACCCGACTAATCCTTCAGTGAGGGAGCAGGAAGGAACGGGAGTAACCACTGATGTTGTCAATCACGCCCATAATAAATACAACCGACATGATAAGAAAGAAAGAAACAATTCTTACTATAAAAACTAAAAAGCGAGACATAGAAAATAAGATTATAAAAATGTATTCTAATTGTATACATTTTTCAAAGATTATTAAACATCGGATCTAAATTTTACTCGGGGAAATTTTTAGGTCCGGTGCGTAATTATATTGTTGATCATTTTGGTCCGGAATTTTTAATAATTTTAAAAGGAAATTTAAAATGTGAGTAGTAAATATATTAAACGCGCAATTGTATGATTTTTTTTTTATATATTAATTGATAAAATTTAAATTTATTTTTAAAAATCGACCTAGTCAGGATTTTTAAATTTTTAAGCCCTGTAATTTTAATAAATTAATATTATTTTTTTCTTATTGCTGGCCTGCAGATCTCTGATAATTATAATATAATTATTTAATTTGAGTTTAATTACTATCTAAAAACTTTTTTACTACAAAGGAATTGTAAAAGCATTTATAAAGTAAACAGACAAATAATATGCACTAATTATATTCTTTCACTACTTGGTAAACGAAAAACTAGATACCAGCGATAAAGACGCTAGAGATCTTTTATCAATCCGCATAAAAGATAATGGCGGTGTTGATTGTTGGGCCCCTGAGCGGTATAATTTACCCCCTGATTACCGTTTCGATAAGCGGAAGAATTACGAAAATCGTTTTCCTAAAACGTCAAAGCCTAAATACATTGAAGAGACATACGAATCGCACGTAAATCTGAATCTGTTTATTTTATTCTTCGTTTCTTAATCATTTTGCATCCTAAAACTACCGAAATGGTCAATTAACGTCTATAATTATTAATTTTTCGAATTTTTCGGGCTTAATTTGTGAATTCTATTTAAGAAAAATATTTTATTTTATTTATAAAAGCATTTTATTTTATTTTATTGAATTTAAAAATAAAAATAAAAATTATTATTAATTCCACCAATTTTAGACATTTGATATCTGTTTATTTGTTTGACTCTTTCCTCATATACGTTTAATTTACATTTAGAAACTTATTCGTAATTCGATTCTTATTCCATAGACCGCTACTATATTTGGGATTTTATTTTTAACTTGTATTTATTTATAATATTCTGATTTGTACCAACTTTTATCTAATCCAAGTTAATAATATTTTCGATCATTGTGTGAAATTTCTTTAGAAATATTTGTTTTATTTTTGTAAATGATTCAATAAATAATTATTAGATGTATAATTTTATAAATATGACATAGTTAACCGATATATAAAAAAATTGCAATCACTACTTACCCTGATAGAATAAAAATTTTCAAACTGCCAATATTATTTTTTATTCTATCCAATTCTTCAGTCTGATGACAGACTTTGAGTATATGAATTAAAATCACTCTTAAGTTTTTACACTCTTTGTGAGCACAAATTAAACGTTGCAACGCAGCGTTTCAAAAGGCATATAAAAAACGTAAACGCAGCCATGTTTAAATTGATGCGTTAAGTTTTATTTTTTCTATATGAAGCATTTAAATTTAAAACATTAAAACAAAAAAATCACTACAAAACCTTTCTTGCCTAGCAGGGAAAATAATTCTACTTCAATGGAATCAAAAATTTTTAGAGACAAACTTAAAATTTTACAAATTATTAAATTTTTATATTTATATTTTATTAAATTTATTTATGAAAATATTTTATATTAAACTATGTTACATATTTAATTTTTATATACAATGATATTATTAAATTGAATATTAAGAAAAATTTAATTGGTATATCCCTTAATTTCTATCATGTTAATTTGCACACTATTTTAGATGTAGCCAATTGCGCTATTTTAAAACTTGAGGAATGAACCTCAAACTTAAAATAATATTAATTCTATTCTCTTACAACATGATAAAATTGAAATTTCCATATAATTTAAGACATATAATTCAATTTTATAGTGTTATACTAAATAAGATTTATCTGTTGCTTCTATAAATAGATTTTCAATATCAACCATACTAATTAAATGATATAACTAAATTAAATGAATATTAAGAAAAATTTAATTGATATATCCCTTAATTTATATGTTAATTTGGACATTAATATAATTTGAATGTTAAGAAAAATTAAATTGATATATCATTTAACTTATATTAAATGGGCCATTCCATGTCAAATCGATCAAAAAAGGCACTTTTTCGGCCGAACCCTTTTAAAATTGTTAAAATTTTCTGGAATTATTTAAATAGGTAAAAAAATGAGAAAGCCGTTTATTTTAGCTCGCTAGCACACCTGGTTCTCGAAATATAGGGGCTCAAAAATACAAAAAAGAGCCACTTTGGAATCTGTAAAATTTTTAAAATGCATTTATCTCAAAAAATATTTATAGTAAAAAGAATTATAATATATCATTTTGTAGGTAAAGAAATTCTCTAATGGGCTAAAAAAATAATATATATTGGCGCCATTATAGGCTTTTAACATCCGGTTTACCTATATTGCTTTACCTGTATTTTTAAACAAAATAGTGAGTTTGTTTTCGAATTTTGTTTTGCTTTTTATTTAGACACCTTTTATAAATATTTATACAATGTCAAAACCTTGGCGACGCTATCGACATTTCTGAAATATACATTTTTACCAAAAATTGAAGAAAAAAGTAGATGGCGCTAATGGTTGAAAAATATTATTCTTAAGGAAAATGAAAATATTGATACGTTTATAAGAATTGTGATAAAATTTTCCAGTTATGCCCCCCCCCCTCCCACTATCCTTAAAATGTTTTACATTTTTTAGATCTCTACTTTGCTACTATAGCGAGCGAATGACTTATTAGCTCGATAATATATAACAGCTGAAAAACGAATATTTTATTAGTCATATATTCGATTATATTTTACAAAATAAATTGTTTAAAACGATCTCTCTTTCTGCGAAATAATTTTAACCTGTCCGTTCAGATTAATTTTATCGTCTGTCTACCAATAACAATCTGGATTTGGAGAGTGCAAAAACATGTATTCTAGGTGTAGATCAATTAAAATTTTATTCTATATCACAGATGGACGTACCAAATATTAAAATGTTGCAACCCATTTAATCTACAGGGACATGCTTATTATCGCGAGAATCTAAGAAAGATTCTACCCTGGATGACCCAAAAAAATTTACCATTCAATTTAGATATGTTAATATGTTTTTCATGGCAACAAAATTAGCAAACATTCCTTATACTTCAAATGACAATGTAGATATTGATTCTCCCCTTCATAAAATTAATCAAGAGGCTATTGATAACATTAATATATCCCTACAATCAAATGGGGAATCTCTCATTAAAAGAAAACGCTTATGTAAAAAGAAATATTCGAAGAAAAAATTATCTAGAGTAAAAAAAAGTATTAACGATTAAAATTATACCATTATCTTCATCAAATGATGAAAAATTCGATGAAATTGTAGATACCTTAAAAATTAAAAAAAATTATATGAAAGATATTTATTATTGGAAATTTGTTACATTATTAAGTGTCTAATGGGCATATGCCCACTCTTCTCCTCAATTAATTAGTATATTTAATAGAAAATCAAAATTTTTTAGTATATAAAGTGAAAATATCTGGTTATTGATAAGTTAGCAGCAAAATTTTAACCATAATCCGTAATTTTATAAAGCGCCATCTATTTTTTTATCAATTTTTGAAGTCGATAGCGTCGTCAAGGTTTTGATATTGTATATATATTTAGCAAAGGTGTCTAAATAAAAAGCAATAAAAAAAATTCGAAAACAAACTCACTATTTTGCTTAAAAACACAGGTAAAGCAATTTAGGTAAACCGGATGTTAAAAGCCTATAATGGCGCCAATATTTATTATTCTTTGTTAGCCCATTAGAGAATTTCTTTACCTACAAAATGATATATTATAATTTTTTTTACTATAAATAGTTTTTGAGATAGATATAAGCATTTTAAAAATTTTACAGATTCCAAAGTGGCTCTTTTTTGTATCTTTGAGCCCCTATATCTCGAGAACCATATGTGCTAGCGAGCTAAAATAAACGGCTTTCTCACTCTTTTACCTATCTAAATAATTCCAGAAATTTTTAACAATTTTAAAAAAGGTCGGCCATGCCAAATATGAAAAGAGACAAATAAAAATATATAAAAATTTTATTAAAAGAATATAATGTCAATATAAATATTAATAAAATGCATAATATATTTTTATGATAAATAAATAATTTATATAATGCTATTATATATGTCAATGCAGATTCATATGTAGGTTTTGGTAAGGTATCATTTATCTTCAGATAGTGTAGAAATTTTAAAACCTCAGTTTTAAACACTTGGTTGTCCAAATTCTACAAGGTTATCTATAAAAAGTCTAAATAAAATATAAATAAATTATAGATAAAAATTAGCTTTACTGCATCTCAGATGGGTTTTCTTCCAAAATTTAATAACCTATTAAATTCAGACAGATGCCTTTGCAATCAATGCAAACATTGAAACAATAGATTCCTCACAAGTCAGTGAAAAGATGTGGACAGACCTTTCATCCAGATTAATAGACACTGCCAAATCGACACTAGGCTTGACAAGAGGAGGCAACAAATCATACAAAGAACTATGGTGGTGGAATGAAGAGGTACAAACCACTATACAGGAGAAGAAAACCCTTTATAAAATATGCTACAAATCCAAAAACGTAGATGACAAGACAAGATACAAAAAATTCAAGAGATTAGCTACAAAGGCGGTGGCTAGAGCCAAATCTATGGCATACGATGACATGTACGAAGAAACATACCAAAGAAGGGCAAAATAAAATATACAGATTAGCCAAACAGCTAGAAAAGAACTCTAGGGATATAAACGGAGCTCCGAAAGTAATCAAAAATAAAGATGGGAAATTGATAATAAAGGAAAAAGAAATAATGAGTAGATGGAGAGAATATTTTCAGGAGCTTCTCAACTTTAATCCGCACATACTGCATCTAGACGAACACTCCCCATGTCAAAACCTTGTACAATCTATAACACAACAAGAAATAATCACATGCCTCAAGCATATGAAAAACAACAAAGCTAAGGGTCCAGACGATATTCCAATAGAAAGCCTTAAAGCACTAGGAGATGATGGAATACATCTCCTCACAAATCTATACAATAAGATACTTGGAAATGAAGAGGTTCCCCAAAAATGGAGGCAGAGCTATCTAGTTCCTATCTTCAAAAATAAAGGGGATCCATATAATTGTCAAAATTACAGGGGTATAAAACTAATGTCACACTGTCTAAAACTATACGAAAAAATAATAGAAAAAAGATTAAGAGATATAATCGAAATAGGAGAGACTCAGTTTGGCTTTATGCCTGGAAGATCAACAACCGATGCTATCCACGCAATTAGGCAAATGAGTGAGAAATACAGGGAAAAGAACAAAAAGCTACACATGGTCTTTCTCGATCTAGAAAAGGCCTTTGATAGAATCCCAAGAAAACTTATCTGGTGGGCGCTACGCCACAAAAATGTTCCTGAAAAATATATAAGAATAATACAGGATATGTATATGGGCCATACAACAATGGTCCGTAGCACAACAGGTACTTCAGCAGGCTTCACAATAGCCGAAGGAGTTCATCAAGGGTCGGCTCTCAGCCCACTTCTCTTCATTACAGTAATAGATGTATTAGCACAATACCTCAAGCAGTCCCGTGGAATATGATATTTGCAGATGATATTGTGATACTTGCCGAATCTAAGGATGAAATGAAAGAAAGACTAGTGAGTTGGCTAAATATCGTAGAAACTCACGGATTAAAATTAAATAGAGAAAAGACGGAGTATATGGTGATAGGAGATGAAACAGAGAGTAATGATATAAATGAATGGCAGATATCTGCAATTGAAAGCTGCAAATATTTGGGCTCCACTATACAAACAAACGGCACAATAGAAAAAGAGATAAAGAGTAAGATTAATCAAGGGTGGCTAAAGTGGAGATCTTTATCTGGAGTGCTATTTGATAAAAGAATCCCACACAAATTAAAGGGAAAAATTTACAGTTTTATAATACAACCAACTATTCTATATAGTTCGGAAACATGGCCAACCAAAGAATCAGATGAGAGAAGTCTACAAACCATGGAGATGAGAATGCTGAGGATGATTGCTGGGGTAACAAGAAAGGATAAAGTGCGCAGTAAAAGAATACTAAGTAGTTTAAAGGTAGTGCCCATTAAGACTAAGTTAATGGTAAACAGACTTAGGTGGTATGGGCACACGATGAGAAGGCCTATGAACTACATAGGAAATAAAGTTAAGAGTTTGGAAGTGATGGGCAAACGTAAAAGAGGAAGGCCAAAACTTCAATGGGGCCATAAAGTTAGAGCCAATATAAAGAAGTATAAAATAGATAAAAGAGATTGTATTAATAACATAAAGTGGAGAGAGATGTTTAAGGAGCTTACCACCAGAAAAGGTGAAAGCTAAAGAGGAAAAAAAAATTTATTCAGTACTTTAGGTTTTTTTGTTGTTGAGAGTTCCACAAAAATTAACATTTTAAGTGAGGAAATTAACTTTTTGAGAATAGAAAACAAAATACACTATAATTTTTTATGAATAGTAAAATATTTTGTGGGATTTATTCAAATATAGATGGTAAATAAAATCAATATAAATTGTGGATCAGTATTGGATTGACTGTATTATTATCAGAATTTAAGGATTGGCTCAGCCCTACTCTTTATTTTCCAGGTAGTTATTCAACTTACCAATAAAATAAATAACATGAATATTTAATTAAGTAGGTTTTCCTATTTTCTCCTTATTCAGCTGATCCTTGAAGTTTCTCAATCTCTTCTTGAGATAAATAGGACTGTTATCAAAACCAGGGAATTCCAATGCCAAGCTAATTATATTTAATATTCTTATATATTTATACCTGAAACCAATAACTGATAAATGTTCCATAACAATGAAACTTTTTTTATGGTCTTCCAGCATTTCTGCAAACCTTTTGTTAATTTCATCGTTCCTATCCTAAAAATATTATTATATTATTTGAAAATAATTATTCTTACAATTTATAAGTTTTATCACTTCAAAATTTAAAAAGTTTTGAAAAACGCAAGCAAGTTTGTCTTTTAAAAAATAATTTAAAATTAAAAATGGAAATGTTCTCAATTTGAACAAATGCATTGTTTGCGTTTTGAAACGCTGCGTTGCAACTTTCAATTTGTGCGCACTATTATGGTTACCTTTGGTTTACACTAAATCTTTTAAAAAACAAATATGAATCCAATAGTGCATTATTCGTGAATAGAAAAATTTACTATTTGTATTCATGCGACTGCAAATAATTGCTATTTATATTCATTTTAAAAATTCTTTTTTGAAATATTATATAATAATTCATATGAAAATATATTGACAGAATTTTTTAATTTTTTTATTGCACATCTAATTTTAAACTGATACAAACCAATAACATGAGATGATATTATTAACGATTAAAATACATATTAATTTAATTAATACCAAGCCAATTCTTAACAGAAATTAATTCTAACTAGGCCTATTCAGATACGAATCGAATAATTTACTATTCGTATTCGTTACAATTTTATTTAAATTATTCGAAACCCCCTGTAAAAAGGGCAATGAAATAATACTTTATATTCCATATAATATAATATTTTTATTTATTAATTTTACAGTCTAATAATTGGATTAATTAATATTTCTATTCCAGCATATATACTTATTTTAAAATCGTATTAATAAAGTCATTACACTGAATCATTTATAAAGAACATATTGTATTTCTATGTAAACCCACTAGTTTAAATACCATTTTCAACATTTGAATCCATTCTTTAATCAATTTAAAGGTTGTTAAAGGTAAAGGAAGGGAACTTATTGAAAAAATAGGCTGGAAACATGGACAGGGATTGGGAAAAGATAACAAGGGTATTCTTCAACCTGTACCAATTGAAGGAAAAGGTTCCGACGCTAAATCAGGATTAGGGTATTATAAATACATATATTCCATGATATTAATGTATTTTTGACAAAATTTGATTCATTTAATAATTTACGAAAATCACTCAAAAATTATTTTTGAATACTATAAATTAATGGTTTTTTTTTTATCTTTAATATTTAAGTGATTTTTATCAAATCATAAATTACTTTTTTCATAATGATATTGTATAAAATAAACAATTACATATTTTTTTATCTCCCAAAACTGCTCCAAGTCCAAATTAAGATGCATAATAAGGTATAGCTTTTTAACAAAATCTGCCTCATTTATTTTAATTATTCCTGAATACTCTTACTTATATTATTAAATTAAGTTAATAGTGGAGTTCAAAGTTTCTTATAAAATCCTTTAATTGTTTTACTTTACATGACAAACATTATTTCAATCAAAATAGAATTTAAACTTTGTTCTAATATCTGGAAAAATTTATAATCATAACATGTTTTAATATATTTTAAGCTTTAAATATTTTTCCCATGATTCGCATTTGAACGAATATTTGGTAAGATGTAATTTCCAAGGGCTTTTTATTTGTTATGATCAGTGTTCTGAACCGGACCCTGGTTCCTTCAAAGCAGGCTAAATCAATTATAAATGTAACCCAAAAAGGAAATTTTCGGCCAACCCCCGTCGATTTTAAGCAAAGAAAGGCAAATACAACTAAGAAATAGCCTAAATTTTAGTCTCCATATATTTATATTTTTGAAGATATTAGGGAGTCAAAGTGAAAAAATGACGAATTTTCACTAGTGGCAAACATTACTCTTTTTCTCTTTACCTTGAAAAAAAGTGACCCGTTATAATAATTTATTACTCGAAAAGTAACTCGTTACTTAAAAAATGCAGATTATATATATATAAATTTCCCCATACATTATAAAATTAATATCATACATAAATATTATATTATAAGATAAGTTTTTTTATAATAATTTTTTTAAATATTTTTAACATTTTGACCCTCAAACTGGCACAGAGGTTTGGGAGAGTATTATATTAAAAATTTTAATTGGGGGAATTTAGTTAAAGAATGATCATATTTTTCAAAAAATTTATTAGATCATCACCAAAAAAATTGTTTTTAATCTTATCAGAAGTTACCTGGTGTGTATTTGTTATTTAAAAAAACCAAGTCTGATATTTGTTGTGTCAAAATTTATTTCAAGCTGATAAGTTCATGCTTTTTTCCTTCATTGAATCTAACTTAATCCATGGAAAATTCAATTTAAATAACGGGTTAATGATAGCTAGTAGTAGTCTATATTCATACTCTTAATTAATTTTTCTCATCCTTAAAGAATGTACAGTATAATTTTGAATATAATTTGCAGAGGCACCATTTGTACGGCCCGGCCCAGATTAAAAAATTTTCGACCCGGTCCGGATTTTTTTTTCAAAATTTTTTTACGGCCCGGTCCGGGTTTAAAAATTTTAGGCCCGGCCCGGATATTTTTTAATAAAAATTTTTACGGCCCGGCCCGGATTTAAAAATTTTAGGCCCGGCTTGGATTTTTTTAAAAATTATATTCGACCTGGTAGTGTTGTTAATCTACTGAGTCGAGTCGACTTAGTCGAAAACTGAGTTTAAGTTTTGGGTCGAAAAAATCGACCCAAACTGACTTGAGTTATGAACTCGAGTCGGTCGACTCAAAAAAATTCACCTATGAGGTATTTTACCATATTTTTCAGCGAATATTACATATTTTATTCAGATATTTAATTACAAATAAAAAATTTGTGCAAATAATATTTTTGAACATAAAAGATTGTATTTGTGATATTTGTATTTAAAAAATACATGGTAAAAAGCTAATATTTTAAGAATGTTATATTGAATAATGAATTATAAAACTGATATTTATAAAAAAATATATTTTGAGCATATACAATATTTAGTATTGCATTTATAAAAATAAAACCATTTTTAAACAAATAAAACGAATATTTAATTTATAAAAATGGAAAATATATTGTATTTACTATTTACTATTTAATTTATAAAATAAAAATAAATCGCTATTTAAAAAAATGCATGTATATAATAAATAGTATTTTGAAAATATAATATAATTGCACAATATTTATATAATTTATTTTATAATATAAATTTCTAACAAAAGAAGATAATTGTATTATATAATATTGTAAAAAAATATAATGAAAAATGTTGGATTAAAAACTTTCAGGACTCAAGGTAAAATATAATAAATGCAATAAATATTTGACAGTTTGCAAAGTAAAAACCAGCATGAATGACGAAACTCTATACTCAATGATATTAAAAATTCACAAATTATCATGAAGAAAGAGAAGCATATCTACCTTTTCAGGTTGAAGATTACTTCTTCTTTCTTCAAAAATTCTCCCAGTAGTGAAAAATTCCGCTCACAGCTTGCACTTGAAGCAGGAATTGCCAATACCCGTTTTGCCAATTTTGCCAAAATTGGAAATTCGCTTTGATGAGCTGCCCACCACTCTAACAAATTATCCACCTTAAATCTTTAATCTATTTTTTTATTTATGTAATTATTATATTCATCATCGGGTATTAACTTATTACCTGAATTACCATCGCCCCATTTGTCATAAAACGATTCAGTTTGTTTAACAACAGTCGTAATTCGACTGGTCGATGGTATTTCATTAACTTCCTGAGCCTCTTGTAATTTAATATAATCTTTTATATTTCTCCCTTTTCGCTTTGAAAGGTATTACAAACTTCAAGAAGTTCATAATTCTAAATTACCACTTTAAAAAGAGTATAAGAGTCCGACTGTAACTCAACAATAGCTCTGTGAAAATTCTCAAGAATATTGACTAGATCCTGAAGGATCGGAAAGTATATAATATAATACTTTTCCGATCCCCCATGTTCTTGAAGAACTTTTATAATTTCTTCATTTTGAGAATAAACACAATTGAGCATATTGTATTTAGAGTTCCAGCGGACTTCTATATCTTGATAAAGGGCTTTCAAATGCTGGCATTTATTACTTTGTTTTAAATGCCCCACTAATATTTTAGTATTATCTTGTTGATTTTATTAATGGGGCATTACTTTCCAAATATTTGAAGTTAAATGAATTTCTTAAAATTGTGTTTAATATATAACAACAACAATTTAATCGTTCATTTAACTCCAATGCTTTTATAATATTTTTACCTAGGTCTGTAACAAATATTATATTAATAAAATCATTAGTGTTAAAATTAAAATTGTGAAATTTTTTTAATAGTTCATCCTTAACTACCTTGCTAATCTTTACACTTCTTTAAATTTAGCAGTAAATAGATTTCTCTTCACTAACCTCCAGTCATTTGATATATAATGCATGTTAACCGTTATTTCGAAAGGCCTAATATCTTTTGCGCAAAGAGTTAAGAAATGATCTATAAATTTTTCTTTGAAATATTTTAGATTACATTTATAGGTCTGTTTTTCAGGTGTAAAAATTTTATTAATTTTCATGGATTTACCATCACATTTATGTCTTCTTAAATGAGATGTACCATGATTATAATTATAAGATAATAAATTGGTACAATTCTTACATTGTACATATCCAATATTTTTTTTATATTCATCTACAATGATATGAAATTTGGTCCAAATTTCGCTTTTTAGATTATTAGTTTTAAAAGAATATACATTATTTTTAATTTTATTGATTATATCATTTGTATTATTTAGTGTCATAATCTATGAAATAATAAATTAATTAATTAGTTACTTTGTATTTTGAGTAAATTTGATTGTTTAAAATGGAGTAATATGTAAGCTAAAGATTTAGATGTTGAATTAAATAAATTAATTAATTAATTTAAATTTGATTGTTTAAAATGGAGTAATATGTAAGCTAAAGATTTAGATGTTGAATTAAATTAATTAATTACTTTGATTTTGAGTAAATTTGATTGTTTAAAATGGAGTAATATGTAAGCTGAAGATTTTGATGTTGAATTAAATTAATAAATTAGTTACTAGGATTTTGAGCAAATTTGATTGTTTAAAATGGAGTAATATGTAAGCTAAAGATTTAGATGTTGAATTAAATAAATAAATTAATTAGTTACTTTGGATTTTGAGTAAATTTGATTGTTTAAAATGGAGTAATATGTAAGCTAAAGATTTAGATGTTGAATTAAATAAATAAATTAATTAGTTACTTTGGATTTTGAGTAAATTTGATTGTTTAAAATGGAGTAATATGTAAGCTAAAGATTTAGATGTTGAATTAAATAAATAAATTAATTAGTTACTTTGGATTTTGAGTAAATTTGATTGTTTAAAATGAAGTAATATGTAAGCTAAAGATTTAGATGTTGAATTAAATAAATTAATTTAAATTTGATTGTTTAAAATGGAGTAATATGTAAGCTAAAGATTTAGATGTTGAATTAAATTAATTAATTACTTTGATTTTGAGTAAATTTGATTGTTTAAAATGGAGTAATATGTAAGCTAAAGATTTAGATGTTGAATTAAATAAATAAATTAATTAGTTACTTTGGATTTTGAGTAAATTTGATTGTTTAAAATGGAGTAATATGTAAGCTAAAGATTTAGATGTTGAATTAAATAAATAAATTAATTAGTTACTTTGGATTTTGAGTAAATTTTATTGTTTAAAATGGAGTAATATGTAAGCTAAAGATTTAGATGTTGAATTAAATAAATTAATTAATTAGTTACTTTGGATTTTGAGTAAATTTGATTGTTTAAAATGGAGTAATATGTAAGCTAAAGATTTAGATGTTGAATTAAATAAATTAATTAGTTACTTTGGATTTTGAGTAAATTTGATTGTTTAAAATGGAGTAATATGTAAGCTATAGATTTAGATGTTGAATTAAATAAATAAATTAATTAGTTACTTTGGATTTTGAGTAAATTTGATTGTTTAAAATGGAGTAATATGTAAGCTAAAGATTTAGATGTTGAATTAAATTAATTAATTAGTTACTTTGGATTTTGAGTAAATTTGATTTTGATTTGATTATTTAAAATGGAGTAATATGTAAGCAAGATTTAGATGTTGAATTAAATAAATTAATTAACTAGTTACTTTGGATTTTGAGCAACAATTCTTAATGCGTAATTTAAATGACAGAAAAACAATAATTTGATCGATCTGTGGGTGTTAGGTAGTGTTCACCATATTAATTAATCATAACTACTATAATATAATCTTATAACAATTAATTCATAATGTATAAATTTTTATAAAAAATATTAAAGCCCGGCCCGGGTTCAACACTCTTCTCTTCTCTTTAGGCCCGGCCCGGATATATTATAAAAAAAATTTTAAACTCGGCCCGGATATATTTAAAATTTTTAGGCCCGGCCCGGGTATATTTAAAAAAATTTAAATACGGGCCGGGCTTAGGGCCGGGCCTGCAGGTCTCTGAAATTATTAATAATGTTAAAATTCTAAGAATAATTTTTTTATAATGAATAAATTTAATACCGTAGGGCAGTTTTCCCAAGCCCCCGAAATTAGACCATTTTAAGGACCGTCATATTCTGTTTTTCTATGACAACTTTTAATCTAAAACAGTTTATTTTAACCTCTCACCTTAATTTACCTAACATTCATTTATAAAACCCATATTGTTTTGAAAATCTTTGATATGAACTATTTCCCATCATCCGCATATGCAATTTTTAAAATATAAGTATTATTTTACTCGTTATTTAAAAGGGCAAAAAAATTGCAATAAAATTATTTTCTAGATATATAAAATAAAATCTAAGTTTATCTTAATCATTTAATATTTTTAACGAAAGAAGGCCAACAAACTATTCCCTCGCCCATTCTTACCAACCCTGATTCCTCCATGCAATAATTCGAATACCTAAGGACGTAATCTCCATAGTATCACCAATCTAGCCCTCTACAATACATTCATCTACCACATGGACCATTATATTTTGATGCGCACACATACCCTGCTTAACTTCACGTTGTCCTCGTTAAGGGTCCTTCCACCTCCATTTGTATTCACACTGCCATCTCTCCCATCCTTCTTTGATCTCGTTTCCTGGACATCTAAACCCTCTTTACTATTATCCTCTTTCATCGTTTATCCTCATTTCCTTAAAGATTCGTTTATCCTCCTTTCCTTAAAGATTCGACCATTGAGTGTTTCTCTTCACTCAAAACATTCTAGATAATACATTAAGCAAATTTTTATATCTTCTCTTCTTATATTTAAACCTTTAATTAAAACTTTCCATTAGCAGTATCTCGCATTATTCTGGGTGATCCCATCAAATATTTGTCTTCCTTTCTAAATGAGTGCAACGGTGATCTTGGTCCCTTCATTCTATCTCCTTACCTCAATATCAAATTCTATTATTGCTTAAATAAAATAAATTAAATCATAGTTTCAAATATCTTGTGACCATTTCTAAATTTGCCTATGAAAAACTCTTGGGAATTACGGCTGCTCATCAATATAAGGTTTTAACATAGCAGACAAATTAAATTAACCAACGAGAAGTAAGGTCTAGTTGTACCACCTTTGATTGCCCACTGCTATTGGCTTAAATTGAAATTTAGATCGACACTATGAGTATCGGGCGTCTGAATATAATATAGACATGACAATTTTGCCACACTTTTTGCAAAAAAAAACTTAATTTTATAATAAATTCCAAATGATTATTGATTTAATCAATTTAAGATCTAACCATTCTTGTTTTTTTTTATTAAGCCTTTCGATCTTAAAGGAAGAGTTTTACTACCTATGTGTTAATTTAAAATTGAAATATATATTCTTTTTAGCTATACTGGGACCGTTATCAATAGAAATAGAAATGTCTACAGTTATAATGATAATACTATCGAAACAAAGCCCGTAATACAGAGATACCATACCAAAAAACATATCAATATAATATCAACTATCTATGACCAAAAACCAAAATATCCATCGCCAATTGAGTTATCATATAAATCACAGAATAATTATATCAAATATATCGATTAGCTATTATTAATAGCTGTAATAATCTTAATATATTATATGTAATGTTAAAAATGTATGTAGCTATATTTATACTATGTGCCATTTTTTAATATATAATTAAAATTGTAACAATTTATGTTTAATTAATACTTCTAATAAGGTGTACATTTTAATCATTTTTACGAAAGATCCGCTCCTATAGTTTATACCCGTTCGAGAATTATGAAACCACTAATTGTAAGCACTATCGTTCGTAATGATTTGGAACACTACGCTAGTCAAAATTTGATATTGCAGAATCACTATTGTAATGGGAGGCCGGGCCACATAGGTCCGCATGTGATACCATCTCATTTATTTAAAACTTATAGTGGTTAAGGTCTGAAATTTAATCCTAAGAATATGTTTTATGCTCATAAAGTTTCAAAATATATTTTTAACCTTTTGATATATAGATTCGATAAGGTTTCAGGAAGAAAAAATTATAAAGATTTAGGCTCGGGTTAGAAATTTAATTTTATCAAAAACCTTTAATGAAGGTTCAGTTATTATTTAAAGGGTATCCATATATAATTCGATAAACAATTCTAATCTTATTTTATGATAAATATGGGGAATCTTATTTAATTGGCAATTTTTATTTTATATCCTGAAAATATTCTCTCGACTGAAACCTTATTAGCTGGGATAGAATAGTGTTGCTAATAGAGTTCGGGTTTCTCTAACTTTCAACCTAATATGCAAGAATATCGATGTTCTTATTAATCCGTTCAACGACATTAAAAGAATTTATAATTATACCTATTAATGGCTTTTATTTTGTATCATGATATATTTTGACTTCAACTAATGGAAGAAATCAATTTGCATGTCAAGTTTGTACAAGATGTTTTCTACTTCTATTATTTTCTTCATCTGATAATTATATTTGATTTTGGGTACCTTGTCAAGATGTAGACACAGAATTCGTCATTTTTTTCTCTTATCTCCTTTGATTTTATGGAAGAATTTAGCAAATGTTGTATTAAATTACTTTATCTCAATCGTGTATTTTAATAGATAAATAAAATCGCCTAAAATTCATCTTCCTTTTATTTTAAACAATTGCTATATTTTTTATAATTTATAATAGTTTAAAATAAATATAAAAAAAGCGCATAGAGATAAATTTAAGAAATATGTATAATTTTAATATTAAATAAAAACCTTATATGAACCGGTTTATAGAGGTGTTATATAAAAATTTGGTTAGCTATTTTAAAAGGTTCGATTAATTAAAAAATATAATCGAATTTAAAGTAAAAAGTTTAAAAAGGTAAGGTAAAAGTTCAATTGAATTAAAATTTAAACTTAATTAAAATTAAAAAATCAAGTTGAAATCTCTTCAAAAACTTTGCATCATTTTTTAAATATTATAATTCTCCTTTTTTTTCCATTTCTACACGCAAAATAATAAAATAAATCGTCATAGGCCAATCCCAGGCAAGTCGTTTTTTTTTCAAAGTGGTTTCCTAGGCATGTTGTTCCCATCAATTTATTTTTATTTTAAGCAGGATAATAATTTGTTGAATTAATTATTCTTGCATAGAAGCGATGTCGGTACTAGCTTTTTTAAAATAGTTTGTTAAAAAATTTAATTTGACTATATCCTACTAAGTCTGGAAATAAAAGATGCTTAACCATGAGTTCAGATCGCCAATTTGCGGCGAATTATACAAAAGATGATATAAATATAATATTTTTTTATAGTTCTCCGCTAATTCACGCTAACTGAATGCAGGGTAGACGTACCTAAATTTGCTTTGAAAAAATGACTTGTCTAGAAATGCCTTATACATTTTTGTAATTAAGAATTCACGCCACATTTATTTTATAAATCGAAATTTTTATTTAAAAGTGAATACCGATATTTTATATTTGTAACGCTCTCCTTTCATGTACTAAACGATTATTAGCTAGAAAATAATTCACTGGAAACCTTGCTAATTTTCCTAAAGAAAATTTTAATTACAATTTGAAAACAGAAATAAACTTTTTCCAAAAAATAAACCAATTTTTGAAACTTTTAAAAATTCTAAGGTCGCGTTGGTTCATCTTATTTCTAACCTGATATCTGTTTAGCCATCTATATGGCTTCCTCTAAACTGTGTAAAAAGAAAGAATTTATTTGTCCCGGAAAAATATATAAATAACAAATAATATTTATTTAATGTACAATAAAACAAATCATAATAGGATGTCCTTCAAAATCTGTTAAGCATAGGCTAAACAGAAATAAGTTACAAAAATCAGACTAATCAGGACACGGCTTAATTATTTATTAAAATTATTTGTGAAAGTTCTTGAATTAAAAAAAAAATTAAATGTGGAAGGTCTCCCTAAGATAGTTTCTTGGGGGAAAATGATATATTCATAAAAGATGTTTAGTTTCGGACGAAGTTCGTTTTTTTGAAAAAAATCGTTCCTTCTATTTTTGACTAACTTTGAATGTGAACACGTTCCTTTTTTATGAACGCGTTTGAATTTAACGTTCGTTCTTTAAAAATATTTTTATTTATTTGAAATTAATATTTCCGAATTTATAAAAAAAATGTATTATTTATATTTTTTAATCGGCTGTGTATTTCCTTTTCACATTTCAATTTTTTTAACACAGTTTATTAATTTGAATATTATTGTTTATATTTTAATTTAATAGATTAGCATAAGCATGGATATTATTATTTAATCCTCATCATCTGATTCTGAAAATCCAAAATCTGATGAATTATCATTACTATGGCCAAATATGATAAATTTTTTACATTAACATCCTATATATTGAAGGAACTAATCCAATGCTTACCAAGTGTAAAATGTGGCCAAAAAGTATTATGTCAAAATCTTCAGGTTCCAATTTAAAACGACATTTGATTTTAATATTAATTATTTGATTTTAATATTAATTATTTGATTTTAATATTAATTATTTGATTTTAATATTAATTATTTGATTTTATATGATATAACTAAGTTAAATCATTAAATTTGAAGAAATAATGCATTTTGGATATTTGACCCCAACAATAACGGTAGTTATTTTAAAAATTAAAAAATTAGTGGCCTCAAATATGGTCAACCATTGATAGACGCCGTATTAAATGGGATTAATAAAAGGTATTAAACCTATCACTCTCAATTAATTACATATTTTTATTTTTTTAAAGATTTGAACATATATATATAAGGATCAATATTTTCTTTCTGCAATTATACATCCAGCATTCAAACTTCAATGGCCATGGATAAAACTTCCACAGAACGAACCTATTAAAAATAAACTTTAGCGTTATTGAAAAAAATGCTTTGAAAACCCTAGAGAACTGTTAATTTCGAGATATCCTTTTTTTTGTCGAGAGTAGAGAATGGATTGGAGGAGGATAACTTATCTCAATTTTTTGCAAATAACAAAACAATAAGTTTTTAATTAATTCTCCACGTTAAAAGAGCTGTTTATTAAGTATAATACCGCAATCCCCTCATCTGATATTAACTGCCAAATGTTCCTGTCTATCAGATAAATATTTTGAAAACAATTGTTATTAAAATAATAAGAAAAGTTTTTTATAAATAAAAATATCTTTTTATTTGCTATATTATATTATATTTTATTTATAATTATATTATCAAAATAAAATTATATTATTTTTAACATGGCTAAAATATATTGTATTAAAAAATATAAGTTTATTTATATTAAATAAAATTTAAAATAATTTATCATAAAATTTTGAACGGTTTTATGAACGTGAACGCGTTCCTTTTTTTTTGAATATGAACTTGAACGTGAACGCGTTCGATTTTTGTCAATGAACGTTGAACGCGTTCGATTTTTTTAGAAATGTTTACAGCACTAGTTTCAAGGATATTATTAAATTAAAAGATTTTATTCCTTAAAATATTTATACAGTCTAATCATGCCTGGTGATTTTTTGGCCTGTCAAAAATCACGATTCGAAATTGATCTACACTCACGAGACCTATCAGACATGGGGATTTTCATGGTCAGCGCCCATCTCTAGGTGATCTTTTCCATTGTTCAATCTAGTGTGAAAAACTTGCATTTCCAATGAGATAATTAACAAATTTATTCGTCATATAAGTCTTAAAGATTTGTAGCCACTTTAATTAAATTGTTAATTGTATTAAAATATATTATTGTTACATTTGAATGTTTGTATATATTTTAAAATGTTACTCTATTTGAATTATATATTATTATAACTTTCTTACATTTTATAATATCTTATGGAGGTCAATGTAATTGCATATTAGTAGAAGTTAAATGACATAATTATAAAAGACTATATATAGGAAACAATTTTATAATAAAGAATCTATTGTTTTGAATATAAAAAATGGCGACGAAATAAAAAAAAATCTAAGTCGCGCGGTTTTCGGTCAAGTTTCATAATATATATAATTATAAAAAAAATTTCTATTTATAAAAAAATAATAATATATATTTAGAAATTATGGATAAAATTATTCTCCAGGACTTTAAGGACTACGTTGATTATATCAAATATATACCAATATTCCTCAAACTGACGCCACTTTAAAAAAATTATTTATAGCTTATGGAGGAATAAACATTATAACTGATATCAAAAAATTACTCTATCCTAGGAATATAGAGGAGGTAGGATGGATTGACATATATAAAATAGCAAAACAACTATATAAAGATGAAAGAACTATTTTGGCATCAAGAATTGATTTCATTAGATTAAGTCGCGGGGCTACTGAATCCGTAATGAGCTATTTAAGGAATATAAAGGAGCTAGCCCGAAGATGCGAATTTGAAGACAATGTAGAAATGAGAATTCGAGATCAATTAATCGCCGGACTAAAGATGTCACAACTGGATAAAGAACTACGATTAAGATATCCAGATACTAAAGACGAAGACCAACCGTTAAGCTTAAACAAAGTGGTAGAATTGGCTTTAGCGATGGAACGAGCTGACTTAGAAATAAATGATACTGCTAAAATGGTATATAAAATCAAAGAGCCGAATAAACATGATAATAATAATCGGATAAATCAACATGATAAAAATAATCGGCAGTATAATATTAATGATAATGATAAACGGCACTATCAAAAGGATAATAAAGCATATGTAAAAAAAGAACTAGGGCCTAGGTATAATAACTACCATACAAATAATAATAGTAATTGGAGAAAACCATGTTATTTCTGTAATCGGTTTCATGCTATTAGAAATTGTCCCACCTACGGAAAATTGTGCAGCAAATGTAGGAAACCAAACCACTTCACCGTATGTTGTAAAGCTAAAGAAAAGATTTACGGAACAAATTACAATAATAAAAAAGACGATTCGGATGTCTCAATAAGAAAAATATACAAATATGGGCAACATCCAACAATTGAGGTATTAATAAACAACCAAAAAATTAAAATGGAATATGATATTGGCTCGGCAGTAACCATTATTAATGAAATAATATGGAATAAAATCGGAAGGCCAAATCTTAAAAGAGCTAAAGCACCAACTACATATGGAAATAATAGAATAAAAATTATGGGTAAGTATAATTAAATAATAACATAAAATGGCTTCCATTATTAGTCACACAAACAAATGATGCAGCTCTATTTGGATTTCCATGGATTATCGAATTTGACTTATCGTTACCAAAAAATGTAAAAATCAATATGATCTACAATAGATATAAATACAATGATAATGGTAACTTAAATATGGACAAACTATATAAAGAATTTGCTACGGTGTTTGATAATAAATTAGAATTAATAAAAAATGTCGAACCAGTAAAACTACAATTGGAAGAAAATACAAAACCAATTGTACTGCTAGCGAGAAGAGTACCGTTGCCTTTATAAGTAGAAATTGAAAATGAACCTAAACGTTTGGAAGAAAATAATATAATCAAGAAAATAGATCCATCAACAACAAGAGTAACCTGGAGTACTCCAATGGTAGTGGTACGTAAAACTTCAGGTGAACTACGATTATGTGGAGATTTCAAAGTAACATTAAATAAATTTCTACTAAAAGACTATCACATTCTACCAACGTTTGAAGAATTAATAGCAAAAATAGCGAATGGAAATAAATATACAACATTAGATCTCAAAGATGCATACCTACAAATGAGCATTGACGATGAATCGCAAGAATTATTAACAATGGTAACACCAAATGGATACTACCGCTATTTACGATTACCATTTGGTATAGTTACAGCACCAATAATATTTAAACAATATATGGACGATTTACTGGCTGACTGTAAAGATACAGCATTTTATTTAGATGATGTTATAATCACAGGAAAAAATGATACTGAACATATCGAGAATATAAAACAAGTCCTTAAAAAATTACAAAATGCGGGATTAAAAGTCAAAACAAGCAAAATAAATTTTATGAAAGAAAAAGTATCATATTTAGGATACATAATAGATCAAAATAGAATACACCCTGATAAAAATAAAATAATAGCAATACAAAAATATCCAACGCCAAAAGATAGACATGACATAAAATCATTTTTAGGTATATTAAACTATTATACACGGTTCATATCAAACTTACACGGAATCATAGCCGAATTACATAATAAAACTAGTAAAAATGTTAAATGGAATTGGACTAAAAAAGATGATGCATTATTTGAAAAAGCAAAAGGAATAGTAACAGAACACAATACTATATAATTTTATAAACCGGATCTTGAGCTAATACTAGAAACAGATGCATCAAACCAAGGATTTGGAGCTGTATTCTTGCAAAAATATAATAATGGTAACGAATACCCTATAGCTTACACCTCGAGAACTTTACAAGATGCTGAAAATAATTATTCAACAATCGACAAAGAAGCCAAAGCCATAGTAAACGGCGTAGAAAAATTTCATAACTATTTGTATGAACGAAAATTTAAAATACGAACGGACCAATAAACCTTTAATAAAAATATATGGGGATAACAGAGATTTAAACGCCTTAACAAACCAAAGATTGTTACGTTGGCTTATAAATTATCTGCATATGATTATGAAATAATGTATAAGAATGGCACAAGTAATATAATTGCAGATGCTTTATCGCTAAACCCAATAGAGAAAAATGATAATAAAATAACAAGTGAAAATAAAACAGTAAAATATATACGAAATCTTACTTATGACACATTAACTCTATCAAGAAAAGAACTTAGAGATGAAACTGCTAAAGATCCAATTTTAAGAAGAGTAAAAATATTATTAAATGGTACAAATATACAAAATCAAGCACCAGAATTACAAGCTTTTAGAACAAGAATAGATGAAATAGTAAATGATGACGGTATCCTATTTTGGAATGGTCGCTTAATAATTTCATATTCACTACAAAAAGGAGTTTTACAGATATTACATACAGGTCATCCCGGTATTACATCGATGAAATCCATTACGAGACATTATATATGGTGGGAAAATTAAATAAGATGTCGAAAAATTAGTCAACCGCTGTATTGGGTGTCAAAAACATCGCAGAGATATATCAGAAGTTGCCATATACCCATGAAATCCGCCAGCACAACCCTGGGAAAGGGTACATTTAGATTTTGCCGGACCATTAGACGGATTTTATTGGCTGGTAGGAATCGATGCTTATTCAAAATGGATAGAGATCGATAGAATCAAAGATACCACAAGTAAAAATTTAATAAATAGATTAGAAAAATGGCTTACACGATATGGTGTTCCACGTCAAATTGTCACAGACAATGGTCCACAATTCATTTCAAATGAATTTTACAAATGGTGCAAAAATAAGAATATACAACACATAAAAACTACACTATACCATCCGAGAAGTAACGGATTAGTTGAAAGATGCATACAAACTATAAAAAATCTGTATTTTGCTAATAGAGAACAAACAAATGATGGGGAAAAATGCCTTAATGAAGTATTAGTTACATGTAGAAATTCCGAACATTCCTCAACGGGCCGAATACCTGCCAAACTATTTATGGGGAGAAGACTAAATACTTTATTAGACTGGGTGAAACCATCAATTACTGAAAAATTAGAAACCTCTGTAGTAAAACACAACCAGTTAAACAAAGGCATACATAGAGATTTTGGAAAAAACGAATTAGTTTGGACAAAAAATCCACTTGAAAAAGGATGGCATGAAGGAAAAATAATAAATCAAAAAGTAAAATTCTCGTATAACGTAGAAGAAAAAGATAAAATAGTACGAAAACACGCAGATCAACTACGAATAAGGGAAGAACCAGACGAAACCAAATCAATAATACCAATTGAACTAAGTCAAAAAGGAAGGCAACCGCGTTATCCAACAAAGGAACGAAAGCCAACAAAAAGATTAATAGATGAACTTGATCTTGGTAATAAAAAGATTGATAGACGATCTTAACTTGGTGGGAAAGAAGATATGTTATATTTGAATGTTTATTATTTTAAAAGGTTACGCTATTAGAATTATATATTATCATAACTTTCTTACATTTTATATTATCTTATGGAGGTCAATGTAATTGCATATTAGTAGAAGTTAAATGACATAATTATAAAAGACTATATATGGGAAACAATTTTATAATAAAGAATCTATTGTTTTGACTATAAAAATTATATACCAGAAGATAACTAGTCAAAGAATGACGGTTTAATGAGAAGTTCCACCTTTATTTTATGAGTTATGAATAGGAAATATACCTATATTTTGATAGGGGTGGTTAAGAATATTTTCTTTATTTTTAAAGTATTTAGTAAAATATTTGATTTTTTTATGGATTTGCATTAAATAAAAATAACTATTAAATAAACATTGATAAAAATTTAATTACAAACATAAAATATTAGTATGCAACTTTTTAGTTAGGCTTCCAAGGAGTCGTAATTATATTTGAAGATATCTACATTTTTTGGCAATATAGAAATTCTCTTGGTTCATTTGAAAACTACTCGATTTATTATTTAGAAGTTTTAATAATTTATAAGGGGATAAAAATGTCTAATTGTAAATAGAACGAGAGGAGTGAACCAGCGTCTATAAGATCGGGCGAGGTACAGTTTGCCTCCAATTTTTTAAGAGAGGTAGGATAAATTTATAAAGGGGGGGGGGGTTATCAATTAAATTTTTAGATGAAATATAGCAAATATATTGCTGTAAAAAATTATTTAATACTTTTATTATATACCTATTGTGATACAATTATATTGATAAACATCGACCAAATCGATATATTGCATATCATAATCATTATTCAAATAAAACTTATTTCCAGATATTTTTCTATTTTTTTAATTTAAAAGGGCTAAGCAATGCAGTGGCGTATCCAGGATTTTCTTATGGGGGGGGGGGGTAGTTTTGGGGGCTTCGCCCCCAAACCCCTTTTACCTGGCCTTCGGCCAGCTTTCCCCGGCCTTCGTCCGGGTCTTATGTTTTGCTATTCTATTAAATTATTCATAATTTAATAATAATTATATTTCTATTTTTAACTATTATTTACTAATTCTTACTTATGGATATTACAAGCCTATTTTTTATTATTTCAAGTTATGTATATTATATTTATTAAAGTTTTTTTAAATGTAAAGTTTAAATAAAGTGTAATGTCATTTTTTTTTATAAAATTTGCTTTAAAAACTAGCCTCAGCTTAAATTCTCATACAATATAAGTAGAATATAATTTTTTTATTGAAAATACTTTTAACTTCTTATCAAATATAATATTATACAAAATATTTTCTATAATTATAATTTGATTTTTAATTTTCGTGGGATTGTTGCCAATTCATCAAGAATTTCGTTTGTCGTTGGAACCAAATCTCTGTTCGTAAATATGTTTTCAACCTTCTCAAGTTGGAAAAAGTCCTTTCATTCGTACATGTTGTAATATGCAAACATGCAAGAATAAAAAACAACTTCAAAATATTAAGAAATTGAGTCAAAGTTTCTTTACACCGATTGAGCGCATCAATAGCATGCTCAGGTAAAATAGCTAAACGTAGTAAATATTTATACCACAGTTCGAATTCACTGATTAAATTTATTTCAGTATCAATCTCATAGGAATAAAATTTTGCTAAATATTTAATTTTACCAATAGTGGCATTAGAAAACGAAGAAGGATCTTTGGGTAATAAAACTTGAAGATTACTAAAGACTTGTTTTTTATCTAAAAACTGTACTTTTATTTGCGATAAAAAAGTATCTAAGAATGGGATGAAAATGGATATTTTATAATATTCTTCAGTTGAGCCAATATTTATTTTACATCTCAATAATGGCCTAGGTGCTAGACGAGGTTTAATTAGTGTTATATCATAAAATTTAGCCTTCGATTCAACGTCTAGATAAATATTATGAAAATATTTATCTACATTCATTCTTATTGTATCTAACTGTTCTTATATATTTTCCGCCAAATCAATAACCTGAACCAAATCTAAATTTGGTTTTTGTAAATTTCTACAAAGTAATGAGCTAAAAATAATTTATTGATGCAACTAGCAGCAATGATAAACACTGATTGATCAATTGAATTCAATAATGATATCGCTTCTGACGACACATTACTTTTTTTCATGCTCAGCCTTATTTAACTTTTGTATTTCTATTTCTTCTGTTCTACAAAATGGAAGTAAAAATGAAAAATATAAAAAATTATAGATATTTATTAATAATTAAAATATTATTAAAAAAACTTATTAATTCTAACTCACTAATAATTTTGAATTTAATAAAATAAATATATATAATAATAAAATAAATTATCGTTTGATTTCAATCTCTTTGACTAAATATTTTTCCATTTTATTAATATTTTTGAATAATATGTTAAAAAATGATATTCAAATATTTGTAAAATTTTAATTGGGGGGGGGGGGGGGGTAAAATTTTTATTAGCTTAAAATGATATTTATGAAAGCAGTCAAATTTGCGATGGGGGGAAGGGAAATTTTTTGATAATCGAGTATTGATAATTTAAGTTATTCTTTTAAAATATATGAAGAGAGTACAATTATAATTAAAAACCTATAAAAAAACTTGGATGGGAGGAGGGAGGGGGGTAGGTCTAGTTTTTGAGGGGGTTTGTTTCCAATGAGTATCCTGTCTTGTAGATGCTGCATCGTCTCAAAAAATTATGAATTTAAGAGATTTTTGTTTAATCAATCAGATCGGTCTACACAGGGCTCTAATATTAATAAATCAGAAAAATCATATAATGGAGTGTTTAATATGCATTGAATGCTCAATTTCATTTGAAACAATTTTGCAAGATTAGGCCAAAATTATTTAAAATCTAAAAATTTACTAGGCGTAAATGGTTGGGCCAAATATTTACCAAATAATTCAAGGCTCTCTTCGTTTGCAAATCGGTTTTCACTTTTTCTATTTAACAATAAAAAAAATTATTGCCTGTCCCGATTATTCTTCCTACTACCAAAATAGTGTTTTTTAGTTCTTCTAAATAGATGAGATTCGCCTATCTCAATTAACGACATTGGTTGACTATGGTAGCAAACCTTTCCAAAAGCTGCATTCCTTAAATTCATAAATATATTTTACCATTTTAATTTTAAATAGAAATATGAGCATTGATTTTCACCTGCACAAAATATTTACCAATTAATATATAAAGAATAAGCTTATAAAAAGAGTTAATCAACCTCAGAAGATATGGGCTTTAATTTTTATATTTATTTCCTTTATATTTTTACTTAGCTCAATTATTAGAATCAGATAAGAATGATTAAGTAATATAATCATCTAAATCAAATCCCAGAAAAACCCCCGGAATTTTTTTTTCATATTTATAAAATTTATTTAAGTCTAATAATATTGGTATATTTTTTTTTGAATTATAATGGATATACTCATATTTATAAGGTATTATAATTAGTATTTAGAAAAAAATATTATAAAAAATATAATTTATTAATAAGCTAAAATTTTTTAGGTCCTAATTCATTATTTAAAGATTACTCATATACCCTCCATAAAAAATTGCTTAAACAAGATAATGCTGATGTTTAAATTTACTGGGAAAAAATAACCCATGTATTTTATTTTCGTAAAAATTATTTGCTATAGAAGTAAATAAAATATCCATCCTTAATTATGATATAAAATAGATTAATTTTACAGAATTTTGTAATAAGATATATTTATTTTATTGATAAATCATGATTATGTATATACATATTTAATAATTTAAAAATGATAATTAAATGGGTTAAAATCGAATATTGAAGGAAATCGCTCTTATAAAATCTGGAAGGCTTCGTACCCCATCACAGTACTCCTCGCAAAGTTTCTTTAACCTATTCTGGGTATTATAACTCTGTACTATTAGCCATCATTCAAGTTTGGTTTCATCGGTAGCCACCTGGAATATCATTTTTTTGGTAACTTACTGAAAACTCGGGAAAATTTTTATTTTTTTTAAAATTTTTTTTTTATTTAAAGAGGATAAATATGCGATCATGAGGATATGGGTGGAAATTTTTTGATGTAATAATAATTCAAAGTTTCATTACTCAAAAGTTTTAAGAATTTCATATTTTTTTCTTGTAAAAATTTTCACAATTCTTTAATTTTACATTAAAAATAGAGTATATTATTTAAAAAATTTAAAAAGGCGTGTGCTATATTGGATGCTACTAAGCTAGGACTATTAAATCAAATACTAGATAATTGATCAATTTTATTTTGTGAAAATTTTCATAATTCTTTAATTTTACAATAAAAACAGATGGTGTATATTTAAAAATTTTAAAAAGGCATGTGCAATGATGATACTAAGTTAGGACTAGTAAATCAAATACTATCAATTTATTCGAATAAATATATGATAATATACGTGATATATAGCGTTTATGTCCTCTAGTGTTGAAATGCAACAGAGCTACGCTAGGTTTTCCTCATTTCCATCTTATTGGATCAATTTAATTTGGGTATAAAAGTCAAAATATAAGGAGCCCTCCACACGTTTGTGGGCAAGCCGCACGTACTTGTAGGCGCAAAATTTCTAAAAATATTACTTAAACCTCTATAGGCTTATTTAAAAGAGAGTTGGACAAAAAAAATATATAATTTTAAAGTAAAAAAAATAGTTCAATATAAATCACTCAAAATTTAATTTATTTATTAAAATTTGACATATTTTTAATATTACGAAAATAGGAATATTCACCTATTTATGTATAAATGTGAGGAAGATTTTCTTCCATTTCTGGATGCTTGCCTTAAAATCCCTCCATAAACGTTCAATACATTGAACATGGGTCGATATATCATTTGGGTCTATAAAGTTTCTGCTATGATTAACCGAGTAATGATCATATTCATTTTAATTAAGAATGTTATAACTTGAAAAAATATTATATTTTAAGATTTGTGCGATCGCATATTTATTATTTTTTAAATAAATAAAAAAAAATTTATTAAAAATTTCCCTTTGTTTCAGTGAGTTATCGATTTTTTTAATTAATACTCAGATTGATGCGTGTTTATTCCCAGCCAGATTAGAAAAACGATGGTTCTATCCTCATTTTTTTGTGCCTTATTCATTGGATAGTGCTTTCATTCACGTTCCAAGTTTCTGGAAGAATCGAGGCTCAATTCGACGTGTCTGGGATTAAGAATTGCTTCTTGTGACTCCCTTGTCCATTGATAATTTTTATCGTAATTACGAATATCCTTACCAATGTTCGGAGTAACCGATCTTAGGATGTCATTGCATTGCCCATATTACCTAAAGGAACAAATACTAAGCCGTCCATTATGCCATAAAAGAAGCTTAGAGTTTTATCGGCCCTGTCTTGGCTTTCGACACCTAGCTTTTAGTTTTAACCGCGGTCATAGCAGACATTTTGAAATCCATGTATATAAAAAATGGGTCAGGAAATAAATCCCTTCCCTGACATTTAGATATTATTAATTCGAATATACTTTCGTAAGTATTTTGCATTTTTTTTTTGGAGTACACAATAAACAGTGGTGATAAAAATAGTGTTTATAGATACTCTAATGACATAGAAAATTTTTTGGGGATATGGGAAAATTTCCAATATGCCATATAGCTGTCAATGATTGTGGCACTCGCTTTTAAAATTATTTATCAATATAATATATTGAGCAATAGCTTATAAATTTATTTATAAATATAAATTATTGCTAGGTTACAACTAAAATATAAGAGTGCATAAAAACAATAAAAATTAGCAAAAAAGTAAAAACAAAAAATGCCCAACCAGGGGTTCGAACCAAACCCGAATTCGGAGAAGAAAACCCGGGTTTTGGGGGAAAAAATTTGAATCCGAACAGAATCTGAACCCCATTTATAAAATTTTTAAAACTACAAACCGAACCCGGGAATTTTATTTGAACCCGGGTTCAACCGGGTTCAGTGTATTGTTTAAATTAATATAAGATATTTGTATAATTGTAAATACAAATATTAATAATTTACTTGCCATTTTATAATATTTTTAAATTTCCATTTAAGTGAAGTGTTAATTAATTTTAAACAACTTAATTCATTTACTCCATTTTAAATTTTAACTTTATTCTCAAAGATTCCTATTGGATTGTTAATAAATTTTAAACAATTAAATTCATTTACGCCATTTATTTTTAATTTTTAACTTATTCTCAAAAATTATTAATTAGAGGAAAATGAAAGTGAACAAGTCAAAAAGTAAAAATTATTATATTGGATATTGTTAATTTAAAGAAATACGTCTAAATATTTTCTAAATCTATACATGACTATGCTTTGTATTTTTAACTATATTTTGCCTATAAATAAAATAAAAAATTTATTTTTTATACCAAATTTATGTCTAGTTTTTTAATTATGATTTAAATATAGTATTTTTTTTATCAATTCAAAAATTCTAAAACCCGAGCTGAACCCGGAACCAAACCCGGGTAAATATTTCCCTAAACCGAACCCGAACCGAACCCACCTATTTTTGTTAACCTTAAACCGAACCCGGGCAAAAAATTTGTCGGGTTCGCATTCTTGTACCCAACCCTCATATATTAATATAATAAATCCTATGTTATATGTGAGAATTTTAAAAAGTGTTATTATAAACGTCAAATTTGATAAGAAAATATTATTTTAATTTGAAATTTTTAATTATTTATTTCCAGGGGTTTTCCATGGGGTTTTTTACCACCAGATTTTTCCTCTATTATCATCATAAAAATCAACTAATAAAATTACGGGGTAAAAATGTTAAGAAGATTTTTTAATTGGATAAAACAATTTAAAATTAATCAAGTATCTGAATTAATAATCAGGTTTAAACGTTAGAGAGAAAGGGTTAGGTTAATTAAAGGTTTGAGATATGTATTTATCATTTTTATTTTAATAACTTGTCAATTCTAACAGGCCAAGGTGATTATAAATAAAGGAACAGAAATTCAGATGTATCAGTTGTTTTAACGGAAATTTCCTTGAGTTTAATTTAAATCCAAATTTTTATACCATACCAAATTGTAATAAACATAATAGCGCCACCTCCAAGCTGCTTCTGAAACGAAAGGTCACAAGTTCAAATCTAGGAGTTGGCAAAATTTTAAATAAATTTTAATTTAACTCCTACTTAGAATTGATTAGGCCGGATCGGACCTGGTGGGCTTGATAGAATTTAATCGATTTAAAAAAGAGAATATAAAATAAATACATTTAACATTATTCAAAAAAGTAGCTCGCTATTAGCTACTATTTTTTAAAAGTAGTTCTGGCAAACTTTTAGGCTACTTTTTATAAAAAAAAAATAGAAATAATTTGTTTTATTTTTTGCTTATAATATAATTGTATCGTATATAATACATAAAATCGTTATTTATAAATATTTAAATAGAAGCGTCACTAGGGATGGGGGGGGGAACGCGCAGTGGCTATAGCCCACTGAAAAATTAAAGCCCCCTGAAGCGGAAAAAATTATTTCTTAATGGCTCCCTAATATCCCCCTGAACTAAAAATAAATTTTTTGATAGCCACCTGAACGATTTCTTTTATAGTTCTATTATGATTATATATAGATTTGATTTTATTATTTAAAAATTAATTAGACTATCTATATTTTTATTAAATGAGTGCTATTTTAATTATTAGATTAGATTAATACATATATAAATTATATTTAATTATTTAAAAATTAATAAGACTATTTGAATTTCTATTAAATGATTGCAATTTTATTTATTATAATAGATTAATATAAATTATATTTTCACTATGACAGCTTGCAATCAAATTCTGTATTAAAAATGGAATATCAATATCACTCATATTGTCTAAATATGAATTTAGCATTAACAGTTGAAGCTTAATTGATTTTTATTATTTAATTTATTTTATCCCTAATTAAATAAATATAATTATTTATTAATTGAAAATTAAATAATTTAATATTGTAATTAACCGAGTTCAAAATCACTAATCAATTATATTATTCATTTTTAAATTTAATAATCATGCCTCTTTCTAAAAATATTTTCAAGGTCCAAATAAGTATAAGAGATTTTCTATAAAAGGTCAGTAGATATATATTGATAATCCTCTATTATATAAAATTGATTATAAAATATTAGGTAAAATGCCACTTTTACAGGCGTATTTGACAGTTATAGAATATATTAATAAATGCAGTAACAATTTATTCTATTCTTTAACGCCATCTATTTATTTATAAATATTATTAAAAATTAAACATCTTATTATTCATCCCACAATGGATGCAATCTTATTAGATATATTTTTTTCCGTCTGTTTTTTTATTTTTAAGAAAGCTATTCTTCTTCTTCTTTGAAAAATATTCTTGAGTTAAATTATTAATACGAGTATATTTTTGATATTATTACAAACTACTATTATTAAGATATAATATACCAACTAGAGGTGGTGCGATAATAATATATAAATTTAATTGCTTTCGTAATATCACTCTGGACTTTATTTTTTAATAACTAAATGACTCATTTCTAAAATAGGCGTAGCCAGGATTTTTCTATTAGAGGGGGATTTTTAGGGAGGGGCCACTGGCCAACTTTTGCCCGACCTTCAGCCGGGTTTTCTTAGTCTATATATAGTCATAAAATATTTTCATAAGATAGGAGGTTAATTTTAATAGTAAAAATAAGCCTGGAACAAATTTTTTAATAGTTTATATAAAATATAATAAATTACTTATACATACATTAATACAAAAGGATGGTAATAATTTATTCCAAACCGTGGTTTCCGAGCAATTTACCTCCAGGATCTAATAAAGCCATCCATTCCTTACCACCAAAGCCTTATATCAGCCTTTACCATACTTCTTAATAACATCTTTAATAACCTTGTTCCTTCATGTATTCTACCCTTAATTTTTGTGCTCGACTCATTGCGCTATCCAAAAAGGATGGAGGCATTTGTCCCATTGCTATTGGGTCCATCTTCCGAAGAATCATATCCAAAATCATTTGTTGGCGATTAAAGGCAAACTTTCAAATATTTTACTTCCTCACCAATTAGGTTTTAGTATTCCTGCAGGGTGTGAAGCTGCTTCACACATCCCACGCCATCTACTCCACAAATCAAACAATATTTTTTAAAAAAAAATAGATTTTAACAATGCATTTAACTCCCTTAAGAGAGAATATTTCATTCCTTCTTTTTGTAACACATTCCCAGAATATTCAACGCATATATCGGCTTGCTATGGTCATGTGTCGTTTTTAAAATTTCATGAAACGACTATAGAATCCTGTCAAGGAATACAACAAGGGGACCCTTAGGCCCAGCTATCTTCTGTGAAGTTATTCGCACCACCATAGACAATATCAACAACAAATGTAATTTTAAACATATGATATTTAGATGAAGTTGCAGGACCATACGATGAATTAATTAAAATTCCATCTATCATTTCTGATCTCAGTCCCACTACTGGGCTTTCCTTCAATCATAAAAAATGTGAATTTTATATGCCCAACAACTTATATTCTTTTCCAGATAACTTTTCCATAATCGAGAAATCAAACTTTACTCATTTAGGCTCACCTCTTGGAGGCAAAGCAGCAATGTCCAAATTTACGGAAGACTTCCTGATTAAATTTGACAGACTTAAGAAAATTTTAGGATTTTTACCAACTCATCATGCATTCTTTCTCCTAAAGAATTTCCTGTATATCCCAAAAATATTGCATGCCTTCCGTTCTACTCCTCTTTTCCAATTCCCAGACATGCTACTAGATTTAGAACTTAAAATCTCTCTTAAATCAATACTCAACCTCAAATTCTCGCCCATTTGCTGGATGCAGGCCGCTCTTCCATGTAAATTTGGGGGTATAGGCTTTCGATCTCCGCCCTAGCGTCTACATGAGCGGGTAGGATAGGAACAGTTTGCATCCTATTTTTTTGAGGGGGTAAGCTGCTTTAATGTGGGTAAAATAAATTTTTTGGGGGGTTATCTATTAAATTTTGAGATGAAATAGGACAAAATTTATTGCTGTAAAAATTAATACTTTTATTATAGTATTATTATAATACAATTCATCGACCAAATCTATATCTTGCAAACAATCATACACATTGTTTTCCAAATAAACTATCCTTTTAAATGTAATTTATAAAGTTTAGATATTTCAGCAAGCTCATAATGACATAATAATTAATTCAATGTAAATAATGGAGGTTTTAATTGAATTTATTATCTAAAAAATAAATTCTTCATATTCACAAAATATCGCTAGTTGGTAGTAGAGATAGATTAATTTAAGTTATCCTTTATACTTTGAAAAGAGTATCAATAAATAGGTGAAAATAACGATAAAGAGACACCGCCGCCGAAGCCGGAGGGGATTTTTTATGGGGGTAGGCAAAGGTTTTTGAAGGGGGTTTGCATCCAGTGAAAATCCTGTCATGTAGACGCTGCTCCGGCCTTACTGAGTATTGCAACTTTTCTCTCATCATTCACCAAAATTCAAATTTTTTTTAACAAATACAAATCCCCATCTGGGGTTAAAATTAAAGATAAAATAACGATTATGACCAGGGATGCGAACCCGACAAAATTTTTGCCCGGGTTCGGTTCGGGGTATAAAAAAAAGGTGGGTTCGGTTCGGGTTCGGTTCAGGGAAATATTTTTGAACCCGGGTTTGGTTCGGTTCGTGTTCAAGAATTTTTGAGATGATAAAAAAAATTATATATTTAAATCATAATAAAAAACTAGACATAAATTTGAAATAAAAAATAAATTTTATTTTATTTATAGGCAAATATAGTTAAAAATACAAAACATATAGTCATGTATCAATTTTAAAAATTTTATTTAGACGTATTAGCATAATATCTTCCAAGAGTTGTTCACTCATCCTCGATCTATGTGGTGAAAGAATGAATTTCAAATGTGAAAAAGATCTTTCAACGCTAACCTATGTTAAATGTATTTATATGTGAAAATATGATAAATTAACTTGGGTTGCAGGAACAGCAAATAAGATTTTAGATAAAATATATAATTCAGGGTGTTCCAGCTTAGCAGACTCCCAAAAATGCAAAATATTTTCCTTCTTATCTAATCTTTTATAATCGCTAAATCCAGTAATTATTGTTCCAATACTTTTCTCAGCAATCGTTGGCCCTCTTTTAAGTATTTTCTCCTGCCTTTCTTTAAGTTGTATCAATTTCTCTAAATCATCTTCTTGTTCAATAACTTCATCGGAACTAATATCATCAGATAAAATCGGCGTTGTTAAGCTTTTAATTCGTCTCCATAAATTGACAAGATGCCTTTTTGCACAAATCTTATCATCATCACCAAGTAATACCTGTAATATTTAAGGATTTATATTTAAATATTCCATAAAATAACAATTTTAATATAAATCTAAAATAATTAATTTACTAAGCTTTTAATTAACCTTGTATCTTGGGTCCAGGTATATGGCAGCTAAGAGAATTTCGTTCTTTATAAACCTTTCTTCTCTATTCTTAAGACTAGAATATAGTAATTGAGCAAAATGGTTTGGATTTTTTTGCAGTTCGATGCAGCATCTTAACTATGCTGCATAAAAATCTGTCAGTGTTAACTGTTCAGATTGGAATTGTTTGGTTGCGATTTTTAGCGGTTTAAAATTTCAACAATCGTTATTATCTCTTTCCAATCTTCAGTCAATAAATAATCAGATTGCTCTGAAAAAAATCTTCGATATTGGGTTTTAGTAAAATCAGCCTTTCTAACATATCATGGGTTGAATGCCATTTGTGGCAATCTAACACAGGCTTAGGGAGTTTCATATTTTTTAATAACTTTTGGTAAGTGGGATGTCTTAATTTTAAATTTAGGCTCCTAGATTTTGCATTGGTTTCCACAATAGGTGATAATTTTATAGCATCTTGAAGTGCCAGGTGAAGTGTGTGAGCTGCACACCGTACACTATAAATCGGATGATATAATAGTTGATAAAAAAGTATTTTGTATATCATCAATATCATATTTATATATATTTACATCCATATTTTCCTCATCTGCTGATTCACTCCTTATATCATAATCAGTTTCAGGTTGCAGGAGCTTTATAGCTCTTAAAAAATTACAACCATTATCAGAAGTAATTGTGTATATTTGTTCAATATTAATTTTAAATTTTAGTAAAGTTTTTAATATATTCTCCTGTACATCTCTCTTTCAGCTCTACAATTCCAAGAGCCCTCAAATTTATAATGGACTTTGATATAAATTGAATATTTACACCAAGAATTGATTTATCTAGTCGTTGAACTGCATCAACTTTTAAACTTATTAATTTTCCTTTTACCTCTCTCGATATTTTGTCTCTAATTGATTGGGCTGTTTAATTAATAGTTCTGGATAAATTTTCTTTGTTTATAATTAAATTGAGCCCAGATAGGAGTGGATTTATAATTCTTTGAAATCCCGAATCTTCAATAATTGATAAAGGCCGGCCATTTACAGTAACAAGTTCTAGTATAGAACTCATCAAATCATTAGATGATATATTAATTTTAGTTTTTTTTTGCCAATAACAATTCCTGATATTTGGTTTTTTCATTAAATATTTATTGTTGTGATCTCTTTCCAGGTGTCTTTCTAAATTTGACAAGTGATTACCAGACATTTTTACTTTGCAATATGAACATATTGATTTTTTTTCTATTGTATTAAGGGTAAATGCTTTTCAAATATGACTTTATCTTTAATCTATAAAAAGAGAACAATTTTTTTAAATAGCAATAATTTCAGAATTAAAAAAGAGATATTTATAAATTTAATTTATAATATGCACTTCATTAATATCTTGTAAAAATTAATCTGAACCAAAAATAAATGATTAGCATATATAAATTTTAAAATCATTTTAATAAGTTCACAAAAACTGCCCTACATCTAACAATATTTAAGTTAGATGTTTAGAAATTTTTAAATTAACAATATAATAATTTTTACTTTGATTTGTTAACCATTTTCTTCTAATTTATAATCTTTAAGAATAATAAGATAAAAATTTAAAAATAAATGGCGTAAATTAATTCAATTGTTTAAAATTTTTTAACACTCCAATAGGAATCGAGAATAAATTTAAAAATGGCGTAAATGAATTAAGTTGTTTAAAATTTATTAACACTTCATTTAATTGGAAATTTGAAAATATAATATTTGTATTTACATATATTAATATATGATTTTAAATAATACACTGAACCCGGGTTCAAATAAAATTCTTGGGTTCGGTTCGGGGTTTTGAAAATTTTATAAATGGGGTTCAGGTTCGGTTCAGAGTTTTTTTCTAAAAACCCGGGTTCACTTCTCCGGGATCGGGTTCGAATCAATAAATAGGTGAAAATAACGATAAAGAGACACCGCCACCGAAGCTGGAGGGGATTTTTTATGGGGGTAGGCAAAGGTTTTTGAAGGGGGTTTGCATCCAGTGAAAATCCTGTCATGTAGACGCTGCTCCGGCCTTACTGAGTATTGCAACTTTTCTCTCATCATTCACCAAAATTAAAAATTTTTTTAACAAATACAAATCCCCATCTGGGGTTAAAATTAAAGTTGTAAAATAACGATTATGACAATTGTCACTTTTTTATGGTACATCTTCATGAAATTCTAATTTAACATGTTTACAATCTATATTTTTACCCATTTGCGTTAAAAAAATAAAAAAACTTAAAAATAACGATTATGACAATTGTCACATATCTAGGGTATATATTCACTGAAGTTTTATTTAAATATGTTATCAATACTTATTTTGGCCCATTTACGTCAAAAAAGGTTTAAAAATAATGATTATGACAATTGTCACTTTTCAACAATGACATATAATTATAGATCTTCATTAAATTTTAATTAAGCATGTTTACAATCTACAGCGTCTACATGACAGTATATTCCCTGGATGCAAACCCCCCTCAAAAATACTAAAATGTTATCCAATTTAAAAATGTAATGGAATTTTCTAGATTATTAAAACCTACCCCTACCACATACCCCTTTATAGATATTAGGATGCAAACTGTTCCTACCCCCCCCCCCCCCCGCTCATGTAGACACTCACAATTTATATTTTTACCCATTTACAACAAAAAAGTTCAAAAAACTTTATAAACAACGATTATGACAATTTTAACTTATATCTATGATACATCTTCACTGAAATTTTATTTTAACATGTAACAACTATTACTCGGGCTAAAAAAATAAATAATTTGAAATAAAGTAGCGCGGATGGCACGCTACTTTAACAACTCTGATTATTAGTCTATATAGTCTTCTAGATTGTAATACATTAAAATATAAATAAATTAATTCATGTTTCACAGTTGCATAATAATGTTTTTCGAATCCAATGAAAAATTTTGTGCAATAAAATTCATATTAATAAGTGTTAAGCAAATAAAAGATTCAAGCAGATTTAGTATATCTTGAAACAGTTGATCCCCCTTCAACAAGCGCAGTTTTGAATAAAACGTTAGCATTTTGAAACATACCATCTTTCAATGAGACCACTATAAACTATATTTATTAAAAACATAATCGTTATCATTATTCAAATTGCTTTATATTTCAAAAATCTAAGAGAGGCAAAAGATCAGATAAATATAATTTACATATTTTTAGAATGCCGCTTAAATATAGTATTATTTTTTACAAAGATAGGACTCAGCTATCTTTTATTTTGGGTTGAACTAAACAAGGTTTAAAAAAAATGTTTCATACTTTGGTAGGCTTGTATTAAATGTTAAAAAATAATAGAAATAAAATTGATGAATAAATTTAAATTATTGCTAAACCTATTTACAATGTTCGTAATTAAAAACTAAATACAGTAAATCAAATGTTATTATTTCTTGCACTTGCAGTATTAAATTTTTTATTGTGACTTCTTGTTCAAAATTTCCTTAAATCAAATCAAATATAAATAAAATATGCCTGAAATAATAATCTTTTGTAAATTTATTATAAAAATGATTTTTTATGTTAATTGTATCTTAAATGATTATCAAAATCAATCTTAATATAACTCTAAATTCCATGAAAAATTAAATGAACAATGTTTTTGCCCTCAGGTTAAATTAAGGATTGATCATTGCGGATAGCATCCGAAATAAAATTCAAGAAAAAGAAATGTCTAATTTATTGAACTAAGGAAAGAAGCCTGTCGTTAGTAATCATATTAATGAGTCTAAAAAATTATTGAGAGAGTAGAGTAACTATAAAGCAAATAGTGAAATTGATAAAGATAAAATGATAAATTTTGAAAATAATGAATTAAATAAAGTTAATAAAGCTACACCTATTTTAGTTAAAAAATATGGTATAATTTTAAAGAAGTTATGACGTCTAAATGATTATCAAGTAGATGTTAAACTTAAAGAAGGTTTTTCACTTTTCTTGGCATGTCGAGTTCCTTTTGAATGAAAAAATGAAATAGAAGAATTAGACAAATGGGTGAATGATGGAATTATTATTCAGATTGAATATAGTAAATGAGCCACACCATTGGTTTCATTAAAAAAATCTAATGGAAAATTGAGGCTGTGTTCTGATTTCCGAGTTACTATAAATCCAGGGGTTGTGGAAGTGAAATATCTATTGCCTGGAATTGAGGTAATTTTTGCAAAATATATTTCCAAAATTGATTTTTTTTTCTGCGTATTTACAATTACCTTTAAATGAGGAAATTCATAAATTGTTTACGATAACGACTCGTAAAGGATTATTTGCCTTTTGTAGAATACCGTTTCGATTAAGTGCCATCGCAGATTTTTCAGCGTAATATGGCATCAGTTTTTCAGAGCCTAAAGGGAGTTTTTTATATGGATGATGTGTTAATTACTGGTGTAACACCGTAACAACATAATCAACGTTTGGAAGAAGTTTTCAAAAGAATTCGTGATGTCTGAGGGCCAACAGAGAAAAAAGTGTTCTTGGGGTAACAGAAGTTATCTCTATTTGGGACATCAAATTAATTGGGATGGAGGTGAAACCGCTTGATAAAAATTTGGAAAATATATCAAATATGAAGCCGCCAACTAATAAAGGGAAGATTCAATCATTTTAGATTTTATCATAGATTTTTGAATGATTTTGAACGGGTTGCAGTAATTTCATATAAGCTATTATAAAAGAGGGTTCATTTTGAAAGGGCTAATGAACAACAAATGGCATTTGAAATGTTAAAACGTGTGTTTAAACAATGATTTAGAAGTAATATTAGCTATTGATGCATCTAGCAAGAATTTTATTTTTTTCAAGAGTTTTCCGAGAAGCGGAAACGCGATATTCTGTTATTAAACAGAAGACTTTAGCGGCTATGATTTAGCCAATGTCGGGAATATTTAATTGGAAAAAAAATTGTAATGTATACCGATCATAAACCAATAATTCATTTATTCAAAAAGGATAATATTAATATTATCTCTACGATACAACGTTGGTCGTTATTAGTGGGAAGTTTCAATATATAAATTAGATATCGTCGAGGCAAAGAAAATTTTTTGCTTTATTCAGGTTGGGATCAAGTGAGGATCTCGATTTTAATAAAAATAAAGTAATGGATAAGGAGAAAGCAATGGTTTGTTATTTCACATATGTTAAGAGGTGTTCTACTAATTGGGAAGATTTTAAATTCAATGTAAAAGATAAAGAATTGAGCCAGGTAAGATTATTTTTAAAGGGGAAAAACCTGTGAAAAAATAATCGTCCCTGGTGGATGATTGTCTAATGCGGGGAAATAGGATTGTAATTCCTTTTAAATTACTTAGTAAAATTGTAGATTTATTACATGCCGGATATCAGGGTTAGGATAAAATGAAATCTTGGGCTCGTGAATTATGTATGGTGGCTTGGTATGGGTAATGCTATTGAAAAAATAACAAATAAATGTATTCCCTGTAATAACATGTAAATAATAAAAAATTTGTCTCTATCTTCTCAATGTGTCCATGAAAAAAATTGCAAATAATTAAATGTATTTCCTGTATTAATATTTAATTAATAAAAAATTTGTTTCTATCTTCTCAATGTAGCCTGGGATGGGTAAAGATATTGAAATTTGTGTTGGGCTATAAATGGAATGTGACACTAGAAAATTAAGGAATTTAAAATGTTGCTGATTTAAAAATTTTTTAACACATGGTTAATTAAAGAAAGTCATTTTTATAGTAATATATGCCATTTTGTTAATTTAAAATATTGTGGATAAAAAATTTGATATATTCATATTAATTGTATTTTTTAAAAAATTTTGTTAGACACTATAAATTAAAAATTAGAAAATAGTTTTGATAGAAAAAATTCTTTTTTATAGTTGACCATGTGCAATTTGTATTTGACGGTCCAACAAAACAGTGAATCTTTTGTTTAAATAATGGTAAATGACTGTCAAGTGGGAAAAAAAAAATTTTTTCCCAAAGTTTTTATGCATCAAATTTATAAATTTACAACTAATATATAAATATTTTTTTTGATTAAATTGTTAGTTTATTTAGTCTTGTATACAAGGTTGCCTTTTCACTTGAAAACGTGAGTTTTTCTTTTGAGCCCCCATACCCCCAATTTACGAGCCTTCGCGCTTTTGCATCGGCCGGGTTAATCGATATAGCATACTCATAGTTAATATGTTATATTTTATGTAACAAGATTTTTAAGACAATATTAAATTTAATATTTTTTTAAGACAATATTAAATTTAATATTTTTTTAAGACAATATTAAATTTAATATTTTTTATTGATTTACTAATAACAATTATGATGTATTATTTTCCCATGTTTATAAATATAGTATATTAATTATTATATTTTATGGATGATTTTACAAGAGGCAATAAAGATCTTCCATCAGCATGATAGAGTTAGGCTGAAAACTCTTTGCATGAATAGTTATAATTTAGTTTAACCATAAGTTCAGCTTCCAATGATGATAAATGTAATCTATAAGTTCTTTTCACCAAGCAGTAGTAATTAGACTGAATATTCTCTCTGATGATTGAATGAATAAAAAATATAGAATTGTATATTTTCTCTATCAGAGGTGAGTTTTATTAGAAAGGAAATCCATCCATTTTTCTTGTGTATTCACTTGATTTTTTTCGATAATTTATCTTCATAATAGGATAAATGTGAATATTCCTCAAAAAGAATATCTGTATCATATTTGATATTTTATAATTAATAATAATTTTTTGAAATTGTTCAAATGCTGGACATTTTTTTAATGTCATAGGGCTAAGATATTTCCTTATATTATTATCATACCGTTTTTCTATATATTCTATAATATTTTATAAACCTCTTTGATTCAATTTAGCTTTTTCTTCGACATTTTGGAAATGTTCCATAAAAATTTTGTTGAATTTTTAAATTTAACGAATTCTTAGTTTCTAGATAAGAGTGATTATATATTGCTAAGACATCTTTCGATTGTAATTGTAAATTTATGTTATTGGCAAAAGTGCTAACGTTAAGGACATCACCTAAATATGCCTCTGCAAATCATCTTCAAGAAAAAATTTATAAAATTGGTGGGGTTGCTGATAATGATAAAAAATATTCTTTATGGGGTTGATAATACTTAAGCAACCGCTCAATCGTTGGGATTAAAGTAAGCCAGCGTGTCGGGTGGCTAAGTAATTCTTATTCTATCAATTCCTTTAAAATTGTAACTATTTTTGTTGAGTTTTTAAATTGATTAGAGCATTTAATTACTTACTCTCAATAACATATTTGAGAAAAATTATGATTTTTTTAAACGAATTATGAAGAATGTGGCATATACAACCTAATGGTATAATGTTGTTATTATGGCTTTTCAATTCCGATACTTTGATTTTTCTCAAAGCTAACAGATGCTATATCTGCACAATAGGCCGTTACATTTAGCTATATTAATAAAACTTTAGCTTTTAACAACCAAATAAAATAAACTGATTTTAAACCCAACTTCAACCTATCTGGGATAAGATATTGTCATTCAGTAAAATGTGCGATTACCTTACAAAAATATAATAAATAATTCATAATATATCTCTAAATTATATTAAAACGTCAGATAATAATATTTGAAAGCAAAATTCATAATATTAAAATATTTTTATTTATTGAACTTTGATTTCGCCCATATTTTTTTTCCTAAATTGCTCAGAAAAAATTACTTCAGAATTTTGACTAAATTTCAGATATTTTTCTTAAAATCTAAGACTATTTTATAAGCGTTTCATGCATTCTGAGCAATCTATTTTTAATCTGAGCGCTTCAGTTTTATACCTAAGCGATTACTATATTTTTCTGGGCATTTGTGTTTTCAATTTGAGCATTCGTTATTTATTTTGAGCGTATTTTATTTCTGATCATTTTATTTTTAATTCTGAGCGAGTAAATAGGAGCCTTTAACTTTGCCTTAATTCTTTTAAGAGTTCAAATCAAAGATTCACACCTTGTAGGTTATTCCAATAAGGCAAGAGGCTGTCTGATAACAATTTCTTAGTCTATTTATAAAAATGAGATGGTGTATTGCGTTGAGAAATAAAATCTCTTCGTGAAAATTACACGTTCGTCAATTAAATGAGCTTTTCGACAAAATATCTTTGTAATTCGATGAATTTTTAATTGCTTCAACAAATCACATGTTGCATCAGCCGTTTTCTCGTCAAACATCCCCATAACATAACTCCTATAGAAATGTTTGAGGATTGTTTTAAGATATCAAATTTAAAAGCTTCATCATACTGTGGTTAAAATTCTTTACCTATGAGTATTCAAGCTTAAATTTGCATCCATTAGTATTCACCCGAGGATTGATGTTCTTTAGCCCATTTGAGTCTCTTTCACTGTGTCAAGAAGAACTTTTTCTTTGCTTCAAAAATAGCAGATTTAGATAAAGATCATTTACGATATTATAATCTACCTTATAAAATAAAAACCCCCATAGAATGTAACTTTCTATTGCAGGTACTAATAGAGTAATTCTTTGAGCAATAATTCGATTCAGTATATGACTTGTAGATAAAAGTCTATTTTCCCTCATTAAAGTTTTCTAACATCTCAAATTTAGTTGAGTTATAAAATCTTTCACTTCCTCTTTTTAGCTAAAACTAAATTATTTTTGCATCTATAATGATATCACGCGCAGTTTCACGATTATTCATCGATTTTTCAAAAAATTCGTCATAGGGATCCCATCTATATAAATTTTAGTTTTTTGATCCCTATGAGTTGGATCGTGCATTATTTAGTCAAAATGTAACTTCCAAAAATATTTTAACCATGAAAATTAGCAGACGATAAATATAAAAACAGCTGATACAACTTATTTGAAAAATTAGTAAATTAAGTATGATTAATTTGATTCTTGAAATGTCGTTCAATTTGATTTATATACTATTAACATATCTTAATATATAGGTCAAGTAAACCTCTATATATTTATTTTCTCTATATAAAATTTTATCTTGAATTTAATATAGTAAATCCTCCAAATAGTGAAAATTCAGGGCAGTTAATTATCTGGTCACTTTATAGAGGTGGTGTTAAAGAATTGTTTTAAGTATTACTTTTTCAAAAGATAAAAACAATTTTTTAATATAATCAACCACAATTATTATCTTTCTGTGTAATCTATCATGTTTGTATTTTTTAACTATTTTGTGGATTTAGAAAAGCGATAGCCATAGAGATGATTACAATAAAATGTTGTATTATATGATTCGGACAGACTGCAGTCGCTGATACCAACGGTATCAGCAGTGGCAATCTATATAAAAACGTTTAAAATAAATATTACAGGGGTAGGTAAGACCCTTAAGGATAAGATTATGTTGGCCCCCAATTTCTACCAAAAATAAATTTAGAATCTAATAATAATCAAGCGACAAATTCGAACTTTTATATATCTATTATACAATTAAAAATATAATTAAATGTAAAAACTTGCGATTTTTTAAAATGGCGACTTAGCATAATCCCAATATTTTGGGTGTGGGAAGCATCTAAAGCGGCGTCTATTTCATCTAATATGTAAATAGGAGCAGGCTTGAATAAGAGTAGAGCCAAAATTAAGGATAGAGCTATCAATGATCTGTATATATTTGATATATGTCAAAACATTAAATATGTAATGATGAAAAAAATACCTTTGTCCTCCACTCAATTCAGTTAAAGATTCTATCCAGATATCGTTAAAACTAACTTTAATCTCTAAGCCCTGCAGAATAGTTTGACCTTCTGATGCCGTGAGTTTGACATATGAACCAGGAAGCAGGGTCGAAAATATAGAACCAAAATCCTAAACCAGTTAATTTGAATGAATATCAAATTTAAGTTTATAAATAATAATTATATCTTTCGTTTAATAATCCAAATATGTTATAATCAAGATATAAGGAATTATATTAAAATTTCTTTAAAAAAATTGATCAATTAACTAAAAATATAGCCTTATAACTTTAATTTATCGTTCCATGATTTCTAAAAAATATTTAATCTTCTAATCAACAAATTATATACTAAATTTTCTTATAAAATCCTTTCCTTTCCATAGAGGTAAGCAGATTTTATATCCATATGGGTAATCCCGGGGCAATTTATATTAGTCAAATCTATTGTGTAAAGATCTTGAATATCCCAAGAGAAAATTAATATTTCTTAGATAAAACTGGAATAAACTTGCATGTTATACCAATCTACGCCTGGGCTTCATACAATGTCCGTCCAATAATAAAAATCCCATCCTCTAAGGGTAAAAATGTAAGCATACTTTGTACAATTTGAACTGAAGGGGTAGTCCATTATAAAATAATCGAAAATGGGTTATTATCTCTTGATTTTATGACAGAGCTTATCAGTGTCTTACCACCAGATGCAATAATTGTAATGGATAATGCATCCATCCATAGAAGCCATCTTATCGATGCTCATAAAGATAGGAATGAATACTTACCACCATATTCACCTGAGCTAATTCCATCGAAGCATTCAATCCTAGCCCTAATTCAAGAGATGAAATTATTGGGAATATTATCCAGCTCTTACACGGATTTATTCCTTATGATTTTATTAACTTTTACAAATACATGCAAAGCTATTTGATGTTGGGTTATCGCGGACAACTGATTAATTAGGTAATCCTTATAATTGATTTGTATTAATAATTATAATAACTATTTTAATTTCTAAACATTATAAAATTCATTATATTTTTTATGTATTAATTATTTTGTCGAAGTTATTAAAAATTTATAGTATTATCATATTTTAATCGAAATAAATGGATACACAATTACAAAATAATTATATTTAAGAAATTATAAAATATTTTCAAATATTTAAAAGACTTTTTACAAAAAATAATTTAGAATTTTTAAGATAAAATTTAATCAAAAATCTTACTTTAGCATTCTCAAAGAAGATCAAAAATTATTTTTCATTTTTCATCAAAAATTATATATTTACCTTTCTTTTTATTAAAAAACGATTAATCTTGTTAATTAATTGCTTGTCCATTTATTTAATTTCAATATGTATTAAATTAAAATATCTTATTATCTTTACCCCCTTTTATTGTTAATTATAAACACTCGTTTCACTGTATACAGATTTATATATAAGCTTTAATATTTTATATAACTATGTATAATATGTAATATAAATAGAGGTCACAACATCGGAAGTTATTCTAGAGGAAACAGAATGGGATTCAATAGATGACATAAGTGTAATTTTGAAACCACTTAAGGTAACAATCGGAGCAAATGTGCCTCTCCGATTTGGCAGTTGGATAAATACACTTTAGAAATTGGAAATAAAATATTTCCAATGATTTATTAGGGCATATGAGATTAAGAGAGGATACTCATTTAAATAATAATATTCTATATGCATCACTATATTTAGACCCCAGATATCAAATCCTATTAACCATTGATCAGGAAGAGGTTGCTAGAGCTCATTTAACGGAATTATGGGGAAAACATAAATCATTAAATTGTAAATTATTGAATGCATCAACATTAATTTCAACTACAAATGATCTTGATGATGATTTTGAAAATTGTTATTATATAAAGGAATTAAATTAACAGAGCATCAAAGTGAACATATTCCAATTGGTTCATTATTAGAAATTTTTTCACTCATTAGAATTAATAAGGATGCAAATATTTTAACTTCTAGGAAGATAATAGTTTAATTTATCCAGAATTATACACGCTGGCGAAAATTGTTGTAGGCGCCCCAGCAACAAAAGTATATTATATTAAAGTAAATTAATTACTAGGTTAGCGTTGAACGATCATTCTCATCCTTAAAATTTATATTGTTGGACCTAAGGGGAAATTTTAATGACAATATTTTAGAAGATATTATGATAAATAGCATAAATAAAATTTTTCAAGTAGAAATATGTTATTTTTTAAATTGTATTATAGTATTATATCATATATAATAATTATGATGATAAAGTATTTTTGGCAAAACTAATTAAGCTAAATCGAAAAAAATGATGTTTCTATTATTTTAACTAATTTTAATATAAGTCATTATCCAAACCCACTTTTTTAGAAGGAGGGTTCACATACCAGGTTCAGAGCGTACTTGTTAAAAATGAAAGGAGAGTTCGTGTCCAGACAAGAAAAATTTCCATATCATGGAATTCGTGTGATTGCATTAAGACGCCTGCCATCGGAAAAGAGATCAGAAGGCTTTAATGAGGTAGGAAAACCAGTTGACCTAAGTGCTTTTGATAAGATTTGATTGCACCTCGAGTATCGGGTTTGCCGACCGGGATTACAATTGCAATGTAAATGATGCAAAGCCATATTGTCATCATCAGTATGACATTTGCTGCATATTATGGTAAGAGCCTGTTACAAGAGATCATAGCCGAGCTCGTGGTTGTCGAATTCAAGTTTGAGATTGTTAGATGGAATAATTTTTAAAAATTCATATCCCCGATCCTTGATAAATTCAATGAATATAGATCTAGCTAAGTAATCAACGGAGTTTTTCATAAGTGATAGATCAAAATCCTTATGTTTTACAGAGTTCGGTTGTGACGGATTTTGTCTACTCCGTTCTAGTTGTATTCAAAAAAAGATCGTGGACTGACAGATGTTTGTCAATTAATCTACGTGCCTGAAGGTGGCTAGCAATGAACGTACATATTGAAATTGACAGTGGGGATCTACCAAGACCGCCATGGAAGGAAGACTTGATGTTTAAAAATTATTATGGCTCTTATTCTGGTTTCAATCTTACTAGATGTACCCTCTCTAAAAATAATGGGCCCGATCGTAGGGAGTAAAGGATTTTAGGGATGTTGAAAAAATTCTTAATTAAAAAGGCCATGTGAACAGAGAGACAGGGAAGAATGCGTTTTAAATTTTCAAAAATATCGTCTATATCATTAAATAAAAAAAATTACTGACTCCTCACCAATGGGAGAGCCCAAATGAAATAAATTTTTCAAGGGGATTGGTTAAAACCAAAAACGCTCAATGGAATAGTATTTTCGCAATATTCGGTTTTGATGGTTAATTAAAGTCCAAGACTGTCAGTGGAAGCCTTAATAATATTAACAGCCTTTTCCACCTCAGCGGAATCGTCAAAGATGACCCCATCAACAATATAACATAAATGTAGGGGCAGCGAGTAATCATTTTTTATTTTAGTTATCAAATCATGGATTCCCATAAATAAAACTATGGAACCCAGGGGGTCACCCTACTGAATACCTTAGAAGGGGATAAGACATAATTGCCAAGTATCAAATGGGATGGTTTCTTATAGGATGAAAGGATATAGTTTCTAAAAACTGGGAAATGTTTTATGATTGATATTTCGCAATTATTTTTAAGTTTTTTTCTAATATTTGAACACAATTTAAAGCATAATAAATTATGTATTTTATAAATATTTTAATTTTTTATCATATATAAAAGTTTATATATATCTATAATTAGGAAGATAATTTATTTTTAATAAATAAAAATATATTTTTATTCACTTAAAATTATTATTTTAGACATGGCTAATATATTGTGTATATGGTATTTATTTATATTAAACGAAATAAAAAAAAAAATTATTCATAAAGTTTTGAACGAATAGAAATGTTTACAGCACTAGCAATTAATGAAGAACTAACAAATCTATAATTAATTTACTAAAAGTTCTAAAGTATGTATAAAAATAATATCTAAAATAATAATCATGTATAAAATATTTTTATAACCTTATTAACTTGAACGTACGCTTTTTGAATTGTTTGACATTTTTTGGAATCCAATTGTTTGATGAGCTCCTCAATTTTACGCTTGTCGGCTAGAAGCGTCATTTTTTTATTCATCAACTCTTTATACTTTGATAATATTTGAAATTGAGTTTAAAAAATTATAACTTTAAAATTTAAATGAAAGCACAAATTCAAGTAAAAAAACTAGTGAAAGATATAATAATCTATAGTACTCAGTTACTAGTTTACAATGCGGGTTTGTCATAGAAATACCAAACAATGCATTGCGCAATTCACTGAGTAGTAATCCTTTATTTTTAATTTTTGTGCCCCACTTATGAGATTTAGAGAGGATACTCATTTATATAATAATATTCTATATATATCACTTTATTTAGACCCCAGATATCAAATCCTAATAACCATTGATCAGGAAGAAGTTGCTGGAGCTCATTTAACGGAATTATGGTGCCAAAGTGGTTTTAGATATTATTTTTTCCTCTTTTCCTCAAAAGATGCGTAAAAATTATCATCTCTTCCATATATACTTTTTATCATTCAAAATTTTTATTCTTGTTAACATAAAAATATGCAATAACGAATGGATGTAATTGTATTTAAAAATTCTTTAAATTTATAAAAAAAATGATCCAAAATACGGAATAATATGATTGTGTATTTTATTTTTCATAAGTTACAATGTTTATGGGTGAATGTAGTGTTGTTAAACAGTTCCATTTAGCCGAATTTTTAAAAGGGCCAAATCAAAATTTTAACCAAAATATTATTACCTATACCTCAAACGGAATGTGACTCGTTAGATATTTTAAAATCCTTTTATTCTTACCAACCTTCATTATGTATAACTCCATGTGATATACAGATTAAGATATCAGTATTTTTGGATGCAGTCATTCTTCTAACCTTAATGCATTCTTGTTTTGTTCTAACAAGGTCATTCCTAGGGATGTAAATTTCCCGGAAACAAAATGAGTATAAAATTTTAAACTATTTTACAACAAATATGTATATTGGTTCCTTTCATTAATTTATTATTATGAAATTATTTATAAAATAAAAAATATTATATGATTTTATGTACAATTATAAAATAACCCAAAACAATAAAAAATATAGGATCGGATTGGGTTTTTAAAAAAGATCGACCCAATCCGATATTTGAAAAGGCTAAATATCGGTGCCGATCCTTATATTTTTGGAATTAATATTGGGTTTTTTTAATGTAAATACTAGAAGTAATGCTAGGTGAAATAGGCTGATTATATGTGGATAGAAAAATTATTTATTTTATTAATGATAATAGCAGCTAGTTGTTAACTAAGTACGCTTTTTTGGCAATATATATTTTTTGCAAAATAGCGAGCTACCTTTTTGAAAGTAGTGAGTAGCGATTTCCCTACTTTTCATAATAAATATTAACTCTTTAAAAATGTATTTTAATTAAATTTTACTTTAACAATAAAGATGAATTTCGAAAAAAATAATTTATAATTACAATTTACAAAAAATCATGGTACACCAATTACTAATACAGTTGTTTATCTTTTGTGTTAGCTTCGAAAATTTGCTTAAGTGCCAATAATATAATAAAGATGGTTAAACTTCCATCATAGATTTAACTGAGGAAAAAAATTGAATATTAAATGATCTAAAATATTAATTTCGACTTAAATGAAATCCCAATAGATTAAAAAAATTTAATCTACAACCCAATGTTTTTTAAATTACAGCCCGCTAGACCATTTGCACCTGTTCGATGTTTAAAAATTATATGAATGGTCTGTTCTTTATTTATATTATTTTTATATAATTATAAGAGACCTAAATTTACAAAACCGGGCAGGGCGGTTTATAAAAAATTAATTCAAATATATGAATTAATTGATTGATAAATAATACAATGGAGTGTTAAATATTAATTTGCTGCTAATATTTTCAATTTTCCTTTGAAGCAATTTACAAAATTCCAGGCCGGTCAATATATGAAAAAAAAATATGGGTCGAATACACAGGTAGTGTTGTTAATTTGCTTGGTCGTAAATTTTACGACCCTCTTATGTTCTCAGGCCGACCCGGAGTCCAGATGAATAATGTTCTTTCAAATATTTCAAATAAAAAATATTTATCAATAATATCGAACTTAGTAAAATCCTGCAAGCAACTCAGCTTATGGTTAAGAATTTTTTAATCGGGACCACTTAGGGCTTATAAATATCAAATAGGATTAAAATTAGGTTAGCTGAGAGTTTATCTCCAGCTATACCATCCTGATCCTAGTTAGATAGATACGAAGTGGGATTTGTTTAATTTCATCAACTAGAGGACGAATATTTCATAATATAATTATTAAAAAATAATTTTTATTTTCGGTTTTTTTAATAATAAAATTAAGTATCTGTAGCTAATTTATTGAATAAAATACCATGTTTTCTTATGTGATAAAAAAATTAAATTATATATTTTCACATGATTTTAAAATCTAAAATATAGATGTGATATTAAAGCCTCTAGTTTCTATAAACATAATCAAATATTTTTATTTTACATTAAAAATTCAACATAAAATTGTTAAATTTAGATATATTTAAAAAAATTTCGTGGCTCAACCAGGGTTGCCAGATATTCTTCTATTGAAAACGTGAGTTTTTATTTTAGAAGGGACTTCGCCCCCTCCCCATACCCACCAATTTGCCCGCTTTTAACCGGACTTCGGCCGGAGTAATTGATTTAGCATACTCATCTAAGTTAATATGTTATATTTAATATAACAAGATTTTAAAAACAATGAAAATTCTTTATCTAATAACAATTATGATATATAATTTTCTCATGTTTATAAATATAGCATAATATTAATTATTATATTTTATGGATGATTTTAAAGAGGCAATAAAGATTTCCCATCGGATTGAAAACTCTTTGCATGAATAGTTATATTTTATTTAACCTGACGTTCTTTTCGCCAAGCAGTAGTCATTAGACTGAATATTCTCTCTGATGAAGCATTTGAATGTGGAATAGAAAATATAAAATTGCATATTTTCTCTATCAATGGTAAGTTTTTATTAGAAAGAAAATCCATCCATTTTTCTTGGGTATTCATGTGATTGTTTTTTGATTATTTTTCTTCATAATAGGAATAAAATTGTGAATATTCCTCAAAGATAATTTCTGTATCTATGTTTAGCATTTTATAATTACTAATAATTTTTTGTAATGTTCAAATTCTGGACATTGTATTAATGTCATAGGGCTAAGATATTTTCATATATTATCTATAATATCATAACGTTTTTCTACATATTCTATAATATTTTTTATAAATATCTTTAATTCATTTTTGAAATTTATTGCCTTTTCTACATCATTATTATGTTGTAAAATATTTTTAGAAACGCTCCCATAAAAATTTTGTTAAATTTTTGAATTTAATAAATTCTTTAGTTTTTGGATAAGATCATGTATATATATTGCTAATACATCTTCAGTTTGCAATTGTAAATTTATGTTATTGACTAAAGTGCCAACGTTTAGGACAACACCTAAATATGCCTCTGCAAAATCATCTCCAAAAATTATTTTCAAAATTGGTGTGGTTGCTGATAATGATAAAAAATATTCTTTAAGGGGTTGAAAATACTTAAGCATCCGCTTAATCGCTGGGATTAATGTAAGCCAGCGTGTTGGAACATGGCAAAGTCACTGACCATTTTAAATTGCACCATTCTACCAATTCTTTTAAAATTGTAACTCTTTTTTGTCGAGTTGCTAAATTCATTATAGCATTTAATAACTATACTCTTAATATCATATTTAAGAAAAATTATGGCCTTTTTAAACGAATTGTGAAGAATGTGGCATATACAACCCATTGGTATAATATTATTACTAAGGCTTTTCAATTCTGTCTAAATCCTTTAATTTTTCCCAAAGTTTACAGATGCGTTATCTGCACAATAGGCCGTTATAGCAATTTCAAGTTCAGCGAATTTTAAATTTTCTAGCAAGCATCTAGATATTTCTTTAGGGGTTTCACTGTCAGACGAAAAAATTTTAAGTAATTAAACATTTATTCCATTCTTTTTGTTGAAGTATCTAAGTAATAAGGGAAATGTTTTTATATTACCTTTATTCTATATGCACCCGTTAGTATTGAAAACGGATGATGTTTTTTAGATCTTTTATAATATTTGCCCTTAATTTATTTCACGAGTTTTAATAAAAGATTTATAAAATCCAGAGTTGTTAAAGTAGCGCGCTATCTTTTTTGATAGCTATAGCTAATAGCCGCTACTTTTTTTAAAATTATTTAATTTTTTAGCGCGCTACTTCGCTACTTTTAAAAAATATAATGAATGTAAGTATAAATATGAAAATTTAAATATAATATCATAATTAAATATATTTTTTATAATTTATTATTTAATTTTGAAATTTAAATATATTTTCAATTTTTAATTTATATTTTCAATCTGTGTTAATAATCTAAAATGGCATCGCCCATGGATATCCAAATCCTTGAAAGTGATTCAGACATGGAAGAAAATGTACTTAATAGCTCTAATAACGATTTCCCATTCCCTAGATTTAAAATAAATATTAAAATAAATATTAAAACAAAATCTGGATTCAAATTCCTGTGCTTAAAATGTAAAAAAAATATATCATCAAATCAATCGAGTAGCTATAACCTGAAGAAACACCTAAAGGTAAATTGTTATTTTTACATTATAATATTATTTATTTTATTAGAATGTTCACACCAATTGCTATAAGGAAATAGAGAAAAAATGGTATAGGAGAATCTTCATTAAAAAAGACAAATACTATTCAAACCAAATTAATGATAATAAACATGCCAATATTTCACAAAAATTGGCTGATAAAGTAATTATTGACACAGTTCAGCCATTGTCCTTGGTTGATAATCCATCATTTACTATGATGATTAAAACTTTATCCCCTGGCACAACAGTTAAATTGATCTGACTAAATATTTTTAGAGCTTATTTGGGAATCACAGGCCATTGGTTAAACCCTAGGACTTTAAAAAGAAGATCTGTGCCTTAACCCTTAAAGGAATATAGGATGCCAGACATATGACG